ATTCAGCTTACCTCAAATTCTGTAGGGTCAACAAGTTGGATGCAAGTGAAAAGAATGTAATCAGATTACGGTTGGAGTAAAATGCTCGTTTTTCTCATTTGTCAAACACCATTGGGGGCAGGAGGTGGTTGAACCTGTAGGTCAATAGTCAACTGCCTGCGTGATTTAGCCTCAAAATTTCAACTGAAATGTTACTTCCTGCTCTCTGTATCTTCATGCTTCTACTGACTGATTATGGTGTTGATGCTAGAAAAATACTTTGCTGCTGTTTGCCAAAGATCAGCTGACAAAAATGAATACACTTCAAGTCAGAAGATCAGTTACAGGATGATGTCATTATTTCTTAATCAAACACAAAATATAAACACAGTGAAAATTAAATAAACAAAAATGGCCTCTGGTCCTACAGACATGCTTCTCCCTGCCAGGAAACAATGTTCACACTGTTATAAGCCGAGCTTAAACCCTACCCCATCTATGAGAATTTCTCTAATCCTTGAGCTAGAATTTTATTTTACCTCTAAACTAAAAGGCTAAAACAAATTGCATTCATCTTTTAATACTTCTGTTATTTCTAACAGTCATGTTAGTACTGAATGCTCACTGTGGGTGATAACAGCAGACTGTGTAGATTTATTCTAACTCAATTCTGATGAAATTCTTGGGAAGAATCCTATTATCAACTGCAGGTCTAGGAAGACAAAGTAGCCTGCTGGAGGTCAACAGCTAACATGGAAGAAGGGTGGGGTCTAAAATTGACACGCATTCAGTGGACCCTTATTCCCACACTTAGGCTTCTGCACATTCACCCATATCACAGGAGAGTAAGAATCTTAACTCTGCACACTTTCATCTATATCTCATTTCCCGTTCATTCATATTAAGTTTGGAAACAGATGACTTATTGATAAACATCTGAATTTTTGTATAAAGGAAAATAATCATTTCAGAGAAATAAATACAGGAAGGCCTCATGTGGAAAGGGTAGACATTGCTGGAAAAGACGGTAAAACTGTTGGTTCTTTCTTTCCTTTCTCCCTTCTTTTCTTTCTTGGATTTGTCAGTCTTAATGTAATGATTACATCAAACCTACTTGGTATTTAACAACTAATACACCCCAAGAATTTAGAAAAACAGAAAGCTTTAATTAAACATAGTGAGAACATCCCTCAATTTACTTTACACATAAAACTTAAATTGGAAGATTCATAAATCCCACTTTCAGAACAAAAAGAAACACTGAAATCTAAAGCATACTGAAGATATAGGTACTGAAAACACAAAAGAAAAAACGCTTAAAAGCGGCCAGTTAGGTGGCCCAGAGGGTAAAGATGTCCATGGCCAGGCCTGAGGACCCGAGTTCATCCCTAGAGACCAAAAACAGAATAAAAAGAATTAACTCTCTAAATTTGTCCTCTGGCGTCCATATGCACTCAGGCACCATACATGCATGTGCACACTTTAATTAAAATCTAAAACAACAAGAAAAATTGAACTGCAATTCTAGCATTTTGGAGGCTGAGGCAGAAGATTTGTCATTAGTTCGAGGCCGGTTCAGGCTACAGAGTCAGGCTGAAAACACGCCTGAACTACAGAGGACTTAAGCTTTTCTTTTTCATAAGTATAGGAATAACATTAGGAGGAACTGGAGAGATGGCTCAGTGGTTAAGAACATCTGCTGCTCTTGCAGAGGACCCAGGTTTGGTTTCCATCACCAACATGGTGCCTCACAATCATCCATAATTCAGATCTATGGGATCCACAGCTTCTTCCAACCTCGGAAAACAGGTGTACATGTGGGACAATATGTACATGTGAGCCAACACTCACATACATAAAATAAATAAATAAAATTTAAAGAAAAAGAAAGAATAATAATTAGAATATTCCTATATCCTCCACCCAGATTTACCAAACATAGTAGATTTAGCCTTAGACCAAGATGTTCATGAATGAGATACAAGGTATTCTTATAAAGCATTGATATATAAAAGCTATTGCAAGAATACTGGATATTTTCAATCTCCTCTATATTCAGCATGTGTATGTATGTGTATGTAACATATATGCATGCATATAGTTTTTTAACCATGTGGAGTAAATTATATATATCATAGCCCTTTATCCTTAAGCACAACAGAATTCCTAATAAAGATAGGCAACTCTAGTCCATTTAGGAGTTCCAGGTTCTATTCAGTGCTTTCATCAGTCTGATCGAACTTCGATTTGTCACATCACCCAGTAATGTCCTTCTTATTTCCCCCACTCCAGTATAGGATCCAGCCTAGGAGCAGGTATTTATTTAGATTTTCTGTCTTTTAACTCCTCTTAATGTACAGCGTTTTTATCAGGTGAGGAGGGAGGGTTCTGAAGAATACGACATATAAACATGCACCTTCCCAGATGTGCCCCAAGTTTAGACCTAGGCGATACGCTCAGTCAGAATAGCACACCGGTGACACTGTGTCCTTTTCGGAATATCACATTTGGAGAGAAAATGACTTCTTCATTGCTGAGGACAACTTTTAGCATCAAACTGTTTTCTCAATTTTCCACTGCATAATTACTATTTCTCCCTTATAATTAGCAGTGGTTTGGAGAGTTACTTTTAAACCACATAACTATGTAGATATCTTGTTCATTAAAATTTCCTCCTAAATTTAGCATCTTAATTTGCCCCTAATTCAATCCTTACTGAAACATTCAAAATGCTTCTTTCCAAATCTAGCAGTGTTGCTGCTGTTTCCAGTCAGCATGCCACAATCACCATGAGCCAGAGTGCTCCTCTCTGCCCATCCATTAGCTAATCTAATTATACATGGTACGGACTTGGGAGTTATCATCATTCCATGGTGCATCATTTACGACCATGATTAGTGCCTATGTCCTGGTTCTTCCAGATGTAGGCACAGAAGCCCTTGTCAGGCAGATCCTCATGGTATGGCTTTGTCAACTCTAGCACTTTCTTACTTCATGACATTGCTCCAGACTGAACTTACCTCTTGGTCCTGAAATCTGTCATCTTTCTGGGAATGTACACATGGTGGGGGTGGGAGGTTCTGGGCCCTCTGAGAGGCTGTTCACTCAATGCTGCAATTCTAATTCTGGAAAGTTGGCTGAATAATTCTCAATTTTAGCATTTTCTTGTTTTGACTGATTTTTTCAAGAAATAATACAATTTATTGTCATGTTCCCAGTGCACCCGAATATTAATCTTAGGAATTTAATCTTCATTTCTATTTCTTATCTAAATTTTCACAACTGGCAGGCTTGGCAGCAAGCACTTTGACTCCATGAGTTATCTTATTGGACCTAGGTTGTCTTCTTTTTATAAATGTCATATTTGAGGTATATTTCTTTTAGCTCCGAATACCTACTGAGGATGTTCAGCTGAATGAGGAATGTTACGTTACAGATGTCTACCACTTTGTTATTCAATTGCTGTGCACATTTCACCAGGACGGAAGCTTTAAGTCACATGAACTTTTGCAGTTTAGTAAGAATTTGGAATTTTTTTTTCTGCTTTAGAAATAATTTTATAGAAAGGTCTTAGGTCAAGAGCACCCTCTTCTGTGTAGGTGCATTATGGGTTATATAACTGATGGTCTCAGGGTGAGAAGTGGGCAGATTGGTATGTCTTCTCTTTTTGTAAGACCCTTCCTTTTGTTCTTGGATTTTCTTTCTTGATGTGGGATTCCCTTCTGTATGCTGTGAATACCATTGATTAATAAAAAAAACTGCTGGACCTATTGCAGTGCAGAATAGGGCAAAGGGGAAATTCCAAGCAGATAGAGAAGAGAGTAGGCAGAGTCAGGGAGGTGCCATGTAGCTGCTAGGGGGGAAAGACACCCATACGCTGGTACCTGTACTGGAAAACCACGAGCCTTGTGGTAAATGTAAAATAATAGCAATATTCTTAAGTGATTGGCCAAAGTGTATTGCAATTAATATAGTTTCTATGATTATCTTGGGTCTGGGCAGCTGGGAAATGAACAAGCAGCCTCTGCCAACATTTTCCCATCACTGACTGATCCAAGATAGTCTGTTAACTCTAATTCACCTGATTCTTCCCCAGAAGCAATGGCTCTCAGTGGCTGCTGTGTGCATACTCTTCTGAATCCTGGTGCTGAGAGCCATCAAGACCTAACTGATGTTCAGGATTTGGACATTAATTATGACACCTTTTCTTTCTGGGGCTGATTTCACCTCTATTTCATCAATTCCTGTTTCTCTCTACTCCTTTCAGAGTCCTTAACGCCTTCTCTGGTGTAGGTAGCCTTGGTTCAGGGGCAGGCCAGCCTTAGGACTTAGACTTACTTAGATGTACTTTTGGAGGCTTATTCTAGTCTCTGTTACTGTCATATTAAGGACATGAGTCAGTGTGGGTGTGTTTGTTTTCTTGGCCAAGTTAATACTTTCTATGAAGACAGTGTGAGGGGGATTCTGAATCAAGCAACCACCCCTGATTTCTAACAGGGTTCTATTAACACCGAATTCTTGCTCAGAGTGTATCCAGTGTTTGTGCTTCTACTTTTTCATATTGCTTCTTGTCTTCTTCTAATCTACTTCCAATTTGGTGAAGACGATAGAAACTGAAAGCAAATTCTTAATCATTTATTATCAACAACTAAATGTAACAATGCTCTCTGGTGCAGTTTGGGAGAGGAGGGCTTGTTGGGTTTGTCTTTACTAAAATTTTGAAGTACAAATAACAAAAGAAAGAGAAAACAAAAACAAAAGGAAAAGAGAACAGAAAGGCAACAAGTCTGGTCGTTATGGTCCATGGAAGCCATGGCAGAGTTGTAAAATTTGTTTGAGTAATAGAGCAGGACTCTAGTGGGTATAAACTCCAAACACTCATTCTTAAGAGTTCTGGGTGTTTTCAGCAGCAAATATTGAGATATGATGAAGTACTGTTGTTTTAAAAGCTGGGGTAGGCTCATGTACCCCCTCCATGTACCCTCCATCCCCACTCACACCCTACTCCCACAACGACTCACCTGTTTCACATTCTGTAGCTCTTCTATTAGCTGTTGCCTATGTTTCTCTGATTCAAGTAATTTCTCCTGTGTTTAAAAACCACTGAATTAATAGCATATCATTTTGACACCAAATATGATTTCTAGTCCTCTGTTTCAAAGTTTATTCCCCAAAAATCAAATTGACAAAATCTCCTAATGCAGTTCCTAGTTATTTTTCTGGTTTCATATAACACTCACTAGTAGTCATCTAAGTATAACTGTAGTGAAATCATTCTTTATTACCTTAATGTTATATGATATAAAAATCTGAGATCCAAAAGAAATCAGTCAGTATTGAAATTGGTAAAACGGAACTAAATTTTGGTTGACAGCTATCATTACCAAAGAGCTACCAGACAAAGGATCTTATTATTCTGAATTGGACATAAAAAAGCTCTAATCATACCAAAGAAAGACCGGGTTGACTCTTAGTTTCCTAATGTAATTTTAGCCCATTTTCGAACAATTAACTCACAAAAAGGATATTACTATTATAGCTGCAATATGAAATATATAGTTGAATATGACATAATGGTAAGTATTGTCATCTTTGAACCTAAAATTAAATCAAGTATGTACTCTGAGATGATTGCAGCTGTCAAAGGATGATGATGGGTAGTATTATGATCCTCACTTAACAAGCTCTGTAGCTCTGTATGTCCGTGTCCATGTCAGTGTGTGTGTATGTGTGTGTGTCGCGGTGTATGTGTGCATGTAGATACCTGTAGCGCAACAGGTATAATAACTGAAAATACAAACATTATCTCAAACAAATATTTATTGTTTGATATACTATTTATATAATCTTTAAGTTTTAAATGAAATTTATTTATTGTATTTTATTTGTATGAGTGTTTGGTCTGCATGTATGTATGTCTGTGTACTAGATGTGTGTTTGGTGCCCACAGAGGTCAAAAGATCCCCTGGAACTGGAGTTATGAATGGTTGTGAATCATGATGTGGGTGTGGAAAATAGAACCCAGATTCTCTGTATAAACAACAGGCATTCTTAAAAACTGAGACATCCCTCCAGACCTTATGAAATTTTAGAAAAGACTGGGTCTCCGAGAAAAGACTTAATGTAGAGGAAATTGAGAGCAGAGTCTTTTTTATTCTGGGACTTCAGGTTTTATAACACTAAAATATGCTCAGTTACAGTTCATGAACTTTAAAGGTGATCTTGATTGAACGGCTCCTCATGGGCCCTTGTTTAAATGTTACATGAGTGTAACTTGCACAGTTTTAAATTAAAATTCTAGCAATTAATATTGACATTAAAATAAAACTCAAAATATGTCATTAAATCTAATGGTGATGTTGGGAAGAGGGGCGGAAATGGAAACTTTTATAATTTAATAAAATTACTTTAAAAAAAATCTAATGGTGATAAAAATTTAGAGAAATGAAAAATATCCAAGACCCTTTGAAACCTGTGACACCCATGGGTTTTGTTTGTTTAACGGTGAATCACAGAGACAATGCTGTCTTACCAGTGTGACCAACACCACAGGACTGTTCTAAGGGACCAAGAAGAAACTAACAATTTAAAAAATGAATTCTATATTTCCATTGAGATACACAAACTTGTGAAAAGGTGGTGCTTTTAGAGTTATAAAACAAAGCCATAGTTGTGAGAAGCTCATTTACATTTGGAAGGAGGAGAATTACTAAAGCCTTATGAAAGAAAATTGGGAGAAATATACAGAATGGTTTACATTGGTATTCTTTAATATTGCAATTCCATTTTCACAGGTCTACTGTGAACTTTCACAACTGCCTACCCACACATCTACAAAGATATTAGTGGTGCCCAGTGTTTGGCAAGGTACATTCACACAAAGCCTAAGAAAGTTCTTGTTTTTTTTTTTTTTAAAAGGGGGTTTCTAGAAAATGAGAGTCAATTGGAGGTTTCTGATAGCCGCATATTTTCAGATAGGCTCTATTTACAGGCAGTTTCTATAAGAGAAGGCTTCCTGCCTTAGTGTTGTCAGCAAAAACTGCATAGCTCCTTTAAGAGACAGCTTCCTGGTTCACGCTGGTCGCATCAGTGGCTCTGGCTCTTTTGGGAGGTCCTGCCAAGGAGCATTTGAATGGGATTTGTGGGCAACATTCTGCATGTTACTTTTGGGAGGTCCTGCCAAGGAGCATTTGAATGGGATTTGTGGGCAGAGTGCTGCATGTTACTTGGTGGTGGCATTGGCCAACTGTTTCCCTGAGGTGGGGCAATAAACATAGCTCCCTGAGGAGGCAGAAAATGGGCCTCTGCCATTTTAGAAAGCCAAGCTGGGTAGACTCAACAGGCAAAGTGGCCACTTTGGTCCTAGCCACACCAGCTTAACAATTTAAAGCAGTGATCAGAAAAGAATTACTGATAGCAATAAAGACAGATTCAGACAGAATAAACCTCTAGATGGGTCACAACGTGTTTGAAAATGTATATAGGCTTAAGAAAAAAGTGGGTATAGACAATGATAGAAAGATAGTTTTAAAAAACAAAACAAAGACTTTAAAGAGACAGTAAAAGTAGTATTAAAAAGCCACATAAAGATGGAAAATACACAGAGTCTAGATTATGTAAATTATTGTGTTTTCTTTGAAGTTTTAACTATTAATGAGCTAACTGCAGGGAGACATTTGATTGTTTGATTGTGGGGGTTGACAAGATAGCATAAAGATATCTTGACCTTAAAATTTGAGTCTGAGGATATGTTGCTTTGGAAAAAGGGTTCCACTTTTATTTTCATAGAGAATGGGAACCTGTGAATTCCTTCCAGGCTAATGTGGTTTGATAGAACAAAACCTCCTGAAAGAGCTCCATGAACCCTAAAACTACTTCACCCAACAACAAAAAGCAGGAAGCAGTTTGGAGAAAACTATAACCAAATTCAAAAAATGATTGCTTAAAAACATTTATTTTCATCTGAAAAGGGTTGGTTATAAATGATTAATGGTCACAGACAATTTCTAAAAAAAGATAAGGGGGATATGATACAGAGATTAATACTTTGCATTGGTATGGATCTTGGTCTAGTGATACAAATTTAAGATTGATTTTGTTACACCGGGCATATGTATTTCTGCTCTTGTTTAATGTGTTGTGTTTGTTCAGCTCATTTAAAAATATAATGTATAGTTAAGAAATGCAAATTAATAGTCATCCAAAATAATCAAAATTTAATTATGTTAGTTAGGTTTTCTAGATATACTGAGATATATCTCAGTTAGATAAACTTCAACACTTCAAAGACCTACAGAATACAGCATGTAAAATGCTTAAAGAACTTAGGCTTTTTAAACTGTGAGTCAGATCTGCTTCTGGAAGCAACAATTACGACAAGAGGTTGATGGGGATTGAAGAAACTCATTATGGAATTTGCCTTCAATGTGACAAGGCTAGCCACTAGGCAAAAAACTGCTCTTGCCTGGACGGCTTGATGGTATTCTGTATGAACTAGACAGGCAGAACCCACTGAAAAACAACTGCCGAACTTGCCAAAAAAAGGTGAGACAGTTCTTCAGGGTTCCTACTCCACCAGAGAAACTACCAGACATTCTGAAGGACACAGAAGAAAGTGACTAATAAACTTCCAATACAAGAAAAACAGGCTTTCAAATTTCCTGCTACACTGAAATGTCTGCCAAATTTTATGGGCTTATAGGCTAAAGACGGATGCCCAATGTTACCAAAGAACTTTGGGTGACTGTACAGGCAACGAGATGTCCCTATCAATTCTAGAGTTTGGGAAGTTGCATACAATGCACTTCCTGCTTACTTAGGTAATATAATATTATATTAAAGACCTTCTGGGGTCTTTAAGGGAATTGAAGACAGTTATAGTTTTTTTTGTTATAATAAAAGATAGATTAGATACAAAACCTTAGACTCACAAAGATAAAATAGATGATAGAATTTTTTCTTTAATTTTCCCAGATACAAATACACTAAATATTGTAATTGTAATTCTTGCTTGATAACTGTTTTTTATATGTAATTTTAGTATGTTAAAGTTAAAACCTTTCTTTTTATTTAGACAAGAAACAGGAGATGATGTGGGATCCCCTTCTGCATGCTGTGAATATGTTTTATTACCATTGGTTAATAAAGAAGCTGCTTTGGCCTATCGCAAGGCAGAACATAGCAAGATGGAAAATCCAAGCAGAGATAGAGGAAGAAAGAAGGCAGAGTCAGAGAGACGTCATGTAGCCATCTAAGAAGTAAGAGGTAACAAACCACGAGCCTCATGGTAAAATATAAAATAATAGAAATGGGTTCATTTAAGATGTAAGAATTAGTTAATAAGAAGCCTAAACTAATAGTCTAAACAGAGTAGTAATTAATAGCTTTTGTGTGATTATTCAGGTCTTGATGGTCAGGAAACCAAAGCAGAGTCTCAGTTTACAGTATCTATTGTGTGTATGTCAAATATATGTGGGTGGCCTTGGAGACCAGAAGATGGTGCTGGATCCCCTGGAGCTGGAGTTATAGAAGCTGCAAGTCAGCTGATATGGATGCTGGGAATATAACTCGGGTCCTCTGGACTAGGAGAAAGTTCTCATAAGAGCTGAGCCATCTCTCCAGTCCCTGGAGTTAGTTTTGATAATGGAGAACTGGAGATAACCTAGATATCCATTAACAGAGAACTGGCTAAAAGCCCTGTAGGAGAAGCTGCTGGTGTATGGGACCCCTACCATGGAAGAAGACATGGGAGAGCTGTGTTAGAAGCTGCCATGATTCATCTCAAAGCACAGGAGAAACAGAAGCCGAGCTGTAATAAAAGGCTCTATAAGACCTAATTTATGCATGATCTAACACATACACACTTCTTTATAACTGTTTAAAGAATTCACTTTGGGCAGCAGTTTTAGGGTTATAGTTAAAGCTAGAGGATGGCATAGAAGTTCCCATGTGTCTCTGACCCCACGTGTCTCTGACCCCACGTGTCTCTGACCCCACGTGTCTCTGACCCCACACATATATGCTTATTTTTAAAAATGTGATTTGGCTGGGCTGTCTTCAAAAACTCTCTGAGAGGACATGCTAAAAATTTTAATGCTGGTTTCCTCTAAAGACTGCATTACAAAACAACAGTAGAAAGAAAAGGGTATTTCTCTTTTGAACAAGAATTTATACCAAATGTAACTAAAGTAAATAACTAGAGAACTTCACCTAACAGAATAATTTTAAAATACATATTATTATTATAGTAAAGTGATCATAGTGTAATTATGTTGCTTCCCTTGGAACATATAATGACTTCCTGTGAAAGTCAGAATTTACCTCAAACCCAATATTCCATTAAGAACAACATGCTACTATAGAGAGCAAATCACAATGTTATTGTGCATTTGGAGCATATGTGATGTGTTCTCTCCTGAAACACATCGTCCCACAGACATGGCCCTGCACCTGGAAAAAAAAAATGTATTTCTGACAAACATCAGAGGATTCAAAACTGTCACAGCTTGCTTAGCTGGCTCCTCGGCTATACCTGCTGCTGCCACAAATGTGAGAGAAGAGAAGGAAGAAGAGGAGCCAGGTCAAACACGAGAGGAAAGCCTACTGTGCACATCAGATCTTATGTAAGTATCACCAAGTGCGAAGAAGTGAGAGGGGAACTAAAGGATGGCTCTGCTCTCTAACGACAATTAAACAAATGATTTGGTCCTGTTTGAAATGAACATAACTTGATTAAACACAAAATGAGCAGCAATATTTCAAAATCCAATACAGGGTCACGTCTTTTTATAAGGAAATGTAAGGAAGTCGAGGACGTGGTTACCTTAAGCACATGCAGTTCCTCCCGAGCAGCATCTCTCTCTTGTTTAAGTTTTCCCACTTCATCTGCTTCTAGAGAATCACAGGGAAGAAGCTGTCAACATTAAAATACAGAAGTTATGCATCAGGTGCAATTCAAATGCCAACTTTGTTATACACCTCCATGAATGTTCTAAGTTCTGTTACTATTCTGGCCTTACCACGTAATGCACTTTCAAAATTGTAATTATTTGTGTACTTGGTTCTCTGCGAAGCTATACAAAGCAAATTTTATCTATCTTAAGTAGCATGTGTCATGGCACCTAACACAATGTTATCACATTGCACTTATTAGTACATATCTGATATAAGATGGGTCTTTAGAAGTCATAAGGAGCTTGCTGATAAACACAGCGTGAATTATTATTTATATCCTGACTCAGTGTAAGCAAAACATTACAGTCTCATCACATAACTCAGTTTGATATTTTCATTTAATTTTATGTTTTCGTTAAAACAGTGGCCTTAATACACCAAACTAACAGGAGCCTAAACTGTGAAAAATCTACTTTTAGGAATTCACATTTACATGTCCACTGCTATTTGAAAATAATCCATTCATGATATTTGATTAGACTGATAAAGCTATCATACAGCAATGGACTACAGTCTGCTGCCAAGTCTGGAGTTGTGTTGGGTACGGATGTAGGCTCTAACCTTGCCTTTTCTGTATATGACCTTGTACTGACAGCAGGTGTAACGCTGTGTGAAGTTTTTAATATAGAAATGATTATTAGAATCACAGCAAGATATTTGTATTTTGGGTTCCACATTCTCCTAAACCCAAAAGTTCATTGTCAAATAAACAAGAGCAGGACTGACATACACTGACTTGGCAATTCCTCCTTAAGGTGAAGGCCTGGCATCTGAGTCAGAGAAAGCAGTGATTGGAGGAGCTGGTCAGAGCGCATGCACTCTGTGATTCTGGTCATGAAGTGCAAGAATGATGGACTCCATCCCTGTAAGGTCAAAACAGCAGCTCCATGTCCAGGTGAGAACAGAAGCTGACTTTGAACTACGTGAGAGACTTCTGAGTGGTGATTTCACACGAGACACATGACAGGGTTGGGTAGCTGGTGACACATGCCTTTAATCCCAGCACTCGAAGGCAGAGGCAGGTGGATCTCCGCAAATTCAGGGCCAGCCTGGTCAACAAAGCGAGTTCCAGGAGACCCAGGGCTGTTACACAGCAAAACCTTGTCTCAAAAAACAAAACAAAAAAAAAAAAAGAGAGAGAGAGAGATGCAGAACGGATATTCAGCAAGCTGTAGACTTAGTAATATCTCATCATATATATGTGATAGTTCAGAAAGATATTAAAAATAATAAGAAACTGGAGGTGGTAGCTCAGGCTACATACTGAATTTAAGGCCAACCTGGGACTTATGAAAGCTTCTCAAAGAAGACCTTAAATAAAGTAAAACTCATAAAAATAAAAAAAATGGATTAAGAAACAACAAACTAGGACACAGTTGTCAAGTTGTCAGCAGAAATTCCCTGCAACTTTTTGGGCACTTTTCTCCTTCCCTTCTTAGGAATGACCTGAATCCTAGTTCTTCTGGCCTTAACACTAGCAACATTCACTCTTAAGGACTCCTGCCCCACCACAGCAATCACAGACTTCCAATTAGAGCCTCTCTGCTTTCTTGACCTCTAATGCAGAAAGTATTAACTTTCTCATCCTCTTATCCACATCCCTTCTAGGAGTCGCCAAAACCTCCAGCTGGCCTGCTCTGTGGCTTTCTCTGAACTCCAACTGAAAGATCCTGCTGAATCCATCTTGAAATTCTTTTATTTGTACCAAAGACCTTGCAGCAGGAATCCTGTATACAGTATACTGCTATACTCTTTGGTGGTCCATATGAGGAGAACCGAAGAAGATCTTTTCAGATAGAGCAGGCCATCCTATACGACCTCAGACAGATAAACAAATTTGTGGACCCATGATTCATCACTTCAGCTTTTGTTGTCTCAATCTATCTGACAGCTTTTTGTGCTTACTCGTGCCCCCACCAGAACCCAAAACCCAACTTTTGGGTGATCATGCATCAGAGATTCCAGCCAGTGCCCCAGATGAAGACTATCAGACTCTAGGACCTTTGGATAAAGAATGTGCTGCCTTTTACTCCTCTGTTCCTGTGGCCCACTCTTTGGCCAGGAGTAGGAAGTACCTAAAATCCTACTCAGCAGGAGATGAAGAACTGAACATTCCCATCTGCTCTTCTATGATCATGAAGGTCCTTATCCCTCAAGGAGGAATTGTAGGGGATGGCAGGGTAGAGGGAAAGGGACTGTAAGAGGCTATTTGTGGCCATCAGCGTTTTAAGCACCAGTTACAAGATATGCACATCTCTGTCAGCTTTCTGGTAAAATGGTATAATCCATGGGTGTTAATATCTTTCCTAATACACACAGTAAGTATGCCCCATGTTGGAGACCCCTTTTGAGATACACAAATACTGGCACAGTAGCATTCTCTGATGCAAACTGCATGGCTTATAGTTGGTAACCCCCTTTACAAATAGTTTGATCAGAGGGTGACAATACCCTTTGATGTGGACAGCAAAAGTCCTTGAACAGTCACGCTGGCAGGCCTCCTGTAATGAGGGAAAACTCTTGTTTTACAGCCTCAAGATGGGTACTCTGATGTGAGAAACATGCACCTGGAGTCAGGCAGAAATGGAAGGACTAGCATCCTCTTAATGAGATATGTTCTTACGTACCCTATCAGCTCCTCTTCAGCCAGATGCCTGAAGACCCTCACTGCCAAGCTTGTTCACCTTCTTCTAAGTTCTGACTCACAGAGCAATAATTTTTTTCTCTTTCCCCTTTTCCATCTCCCTTCTCTATATTCTGGCCAGAATCCCAAGCATCATTGTCAAGGCATTTTCAATCTCTTGTAAGGCTCTCCCACACCCCAGTCCAGTGACCCCTGACTCTTGCAGGACATGAAGCCTCGGGGAAAAATGGTCAAGGCTTTTTGGATGGACCGTCTTGGCCTTCTATTATCCAGCTCACTCTCTATGGCAGCTGAGACCTGCAACTTACTTACTTGCTCTGTGTTTTCCCTTTCAAATGCCATTGAGTGGCACCCAACATGGTAGATTAAATCCAGTAAAACCTGAGAGGGCTTGGAAAGGAATTCTAGACACTAACAAACGAAGTTTAGCTGCATTTATTTTCCCAGATGGGCTTTGCTTGCTGGCAGCATGCTGCAGCTCATTTAAGAGAGGTTTTCCTGATTCAGTGGTAGCAGAAAAAAAGCCGTATGGTTTTGAAATGTCGACTTTCTGGGCCATGCTGCCAGAGCAAATTCTGACTGTTTCTGGAGGTCCGGCTATGGAACATTTAAATGGGGTTTGTGAAGAGAGTGTTACAACTTGCTTAATGGCAACTGAGACTGGCTGTGTGCCTAAAAATGGGGCTGTGAGCATAGCAGCAAACAGCTCCATCATGTTGGGCTGGACGGGGCAAGCATGCAGTGCAGTATTTCCCATAGCAATGGCACAGCTTAAATTCATAAGGGCTTAGCATTTTAAGAAGCACTTCCGGTCAGAAAATAATTACAGATACACAATAAAGACAAATTCAGATGAAAAAGATGTCAAAATGGGTCACAGTGTTGGATAAATATATGTAGGCTTGGGAGAGAGAAGGAAAAGAATAATGGTTTAAAAACAAAAAGGTAAAATCTTTAAAGAGACAGAGTATAATAAAATAAATATTAAAAAGTAATAGAGTAAAAACAAGCCACATAAAGATGTAATATGTACAGAGAGTCTGGATTATGTATATTATTGTGTTTTCTTTGAATATCTTGACTGTGAAGGAGCTAAGTAATCAACAAATGTACCTTAAAGGTATTTTGTCTTCAAAATTTGAATCTAAAGATATCGGATATCTTGCTTTGGAAAAGAGGTCTTTCTTTTGTCTCCAGAGAATGAGAACCTGTGGATTGCTTCCAGACTAATATGATTTGATATACCAAGAGCCCCTGAAAGGTCACTGTGAACATCCCCCCAAAAGTACTTTGCCCAATTGCTGTCTGAGATGAATCTAGCATACAGGATACACCATGAAAGACCTGATTAACAGCGCCCCCAATCAGCAGGAAGAAGTTTAGAGAACTACTCCCATATTCCCAAATATTGTTTAAAAATGTTTGTTTAAATTTAAAAGGGGATATGCTATAGAGATGAATAGTTTTCATTGATATGGGTCTTGGCTTATTGATATAAATTTTAGGTCAATTTTGTTATATGTATATTTGTGCTCTTGACTAAAGTATTGTGCAGCTCATTTAAAACTGTAATGTATAATAAAGATAATAGTCAAGCATGTAGTCATGTTAGATTTTCTAGATATATAGAAATATATTTCAGTTAGATAGGTATTTTTCAAATTTTTCAGAGACCTTCAGAATATGGCATTTAAAATGTTTTAATAACTTAGAACATTTCATAACAATGAGACACATCTGCTCCTGGCAGCACCAATTACTTCAAGAGGAAGATGGTCAGCCAAGAGGCTCCTGATGGAGTTGGTTAGCCATTTGAGCAAGAAACTTGTTCTTGCTTGGACTGCAAGATGAACTGGACATGCAGGAGCTGTAGAGAAAGGACTGCTAAACTTGCCTAAAGGTGAGACAATTTGGGGTTCCTGCTTCATGAAAGAGTCTCCCAGACATTCTGCAGGACACAGAAGAAAGTGACTGACAAACTGCCAATATAGGCGGAACTGTCTTTGAAATTCTCTGCTTCATGGAAAAGTTTGCTAGATACTATGAACTTGTAGGCTGAAGACTGGATGCCCCAATGGTACAGAAGAACTTTGGGTGACTGTCCAGGCAGTGAGATGTCTCTTTCATTTCTAGACTTTTGGAAGTTGCCTACAATACACTTCCTGCTTATTTAGGTAATATTATATCCTTCTGGAGTCTTTGATGGAGTTGAAGAATTTATAGTTATGGTTATAGATTCCCTTAGTTATGATAAAAGATAAAGTAATTATTGCTTGATACCTGTCTTGTTATATGTAATTTTACTATATTAAAGTTAAAACCTTCCTTTTCATTTAAATAGAAAAGGGGAGGTGATGTGAGATTCCCCACTGTATGCTGTGAATATCATTGGTGAATAAAGAAACTGCTTTGGACCTATAGTAGGGCAGAACTTAATTAGATGGAGAAAACTAAGCTGAATGCTGGGGGAAAGAAGGGCAGAGTTAGGGAGAAGCCATGTAGCCCTGAAGGAGACAGATGCCAGAACTTTTCCCAGTAAGCTACAGCCTCGTGGTGATACACGGATTAATAGAAATGGGTTAAGTTAAGATGTAAGAGTTAGCCAATAAGAAGCTAGAGCTAATGAGCCAAGCAGTGATTGAAATAATATAATTTCTGTGTGATTATTTCGAGGGTCTGGGTAGCCACGCAGTCAGGAAACAAATAAGCAGCTCTTGAAACAATTGAGATTGACCTTGACCTTAATTTTTCTTTTAGCTATGAGACTAAGAACCTGGAAAGGGAACTCTATAGCCATTGGTAATATTCCCACATTTAGGCTTAAACATGTCTTTCCTTCTTTACTCCACTACATTCTACTTCTACTTTGGCTCAAATTCCTGCTTGACTTTACCTACCTGAACCACTTTATCTTTCTTCAAGGCTGAAGATACAGAAACAAGTCACTGTCCTTAACCTTTCTTCTTAAAATGCCTTACAGTCCAGGGACTGCCAGACTCGAGAGAAGTGACAAAATTTACTCCCAAGCAACAGAGAGCCTACAGGACACACCCTCCCATAATGAAAACAACTGACTGCAATACAGAGCCTGTTCTCTGGAACAGATTCTCTTACAGCAACCAGTCTCCCTGGTGGATGATGCCCAAGGACCACGTTGGAGTGCTAGAGCTCAGGTATGGAAGGGTGGGCTCACACTTTGACCAGGACTACTTAATTATTCATACCTCCTGGTCATTACCCAAATTCTTTCTCTATTTAAATCAAAAGCTCATTTCAACAGTCCAGAGGTGGACCTGGGAATGTCTAGAGCCCTTTAGATGTTCATCCTCATGTGTCACAGTTGACTAAAAGCCCTGTCTCTGCTTTTCACACAAAAAGAGAATAAAAACATCAGCTATCTTTATCAGCCACGAAAGACCATTTGAATTCATCAACTATCTTCATCAGCCACAAAATGAGAACACAAGAATTTCATGTAAATTAATTATAAACTTGGCCCTATTATTGTGAAACTAAGGTTGATGGGGGTAGCCATGGTGGAATTCCCCCACCTCCATAGATTGTCAACATCATCTACCACAGAACGATTGTTTCAGAGTCAACATTCTACTGTTTGTGAATTTAAACATCTTTGGGACTCACCCAATGAAACAAAAACTTGGTTTTTATTTATTTTTGGTGAGCTAATTAACAAGCAGTGACTTCTATAGTGCTTTTTAAATAGTGATATTTTATCCCCTTAAGGATTGCAAGATGATATTTTTAATGAAATAGAATTCAATAATATTAAATGAGAATGCAGTGTGTGCTTTGAGAAACTTCTTTAGTTGTACATGTGATTGAGATGAGAAATATATTCTTATTATGGATTCAATTTGAAGAAAAAAGAAAAGCTCACACTTGACAATAATATTTTCTGTGAGATGATGAGCAGAAGGCAACAGATAGAATTCCATAAATTAATAATGACTATTGCACAACATTTTGATCTACAGCCTCAACAGGAAATCGTTTTGGCACAGAGCAATTTGCACCATTGCCATCAGTATGGGGCTTTTGCTTTCAAAGTATTGCAGATTGACTACGCTCTGTATCTGCCCTAAAATCCTGTTCGTAAGAGGAAGCAAATTACTCATTTAGAGCATGTGCATCGCTTTGCAGCTGCTCAAAAAGCTCTGCATGCTCACGCAGGTCCCTATGTGACTGGCACATCACAAACCAGCATTGCCTTGGCTCAATCTAGAGAGCTCTGCAGCAGTAAGAGACAGACACATCTGCCTGGAATGTTCAGTAGCTAAGCGCATAAGGCCAGCATCTGCAGAAGGAAAGAGGGCTCTACAGTTCAGTTTTTGCTAAATGCCACAGGATTCCTTCTAATAAGTCCGTGCCTTCATTCTGAACAGCCAGGTCCTCTCCTCAGAGCAACTGAGCAGCTAGGTTTTCATGTGACAGCGATGAGTAAATAAATTAACCAGTGGTAAATAAATTATTTATTGAATTTTTAAAAAGTGGTTTGAAATGTTACAAAAATGTGGCATGAGTAATCTTTAAATAAGAGGATCAGGTTTATTTTTACCAATAAGTTAGTCATGCAGCTGGAATCTGCATTTCTAGAAACATATAACTAATACCAGCATTGAAGCTCCCTGTACATAAGACCTATTATTTAAAAATAATCAGGCTATGTATGGCTTGGATGTGGTCTGTTCTTAAAGGATTCATGTTTTGGAGACATGGTCCTGTGTATGCAGGGTAGAGAGTTTTCAGGAGGTGAGGCCTAGTGAAAGATAATTGTTTTTTGATTTTCAAAATGTGATCACCTATTCTCATGAGGGTTCCTACCTTTCTGATACCATCTGCCTACAGGCCTTCTGCAGAGGTTCATCCACTGACCCTCTCTAATCTTAGACATTTATCTGTGACTGTAGCTGCCAGCTAAAGAAACTTCTTAATCAACTTAACCAGCTCTAGGCAGTTCATTATAGTAACGACAACAAAAAAAAATGCACTACTACAATTAGAGCTCTATAATCATGAAAAGTGGGTTAATGTTCACATTTTCAGAGGAAAAGACAAGGGAAATTTTTTATTTATGAACTTAAACTAAAATAGAAAATAGAAAACTTCTAAATATAAAGTTATAGTAGGATATCATTCAAGGTATATAGGGAATGGAAGAGCTAATAGAGAAAATGAAAGACCAATTTCTAAGTATAAAGTATTGATGTATAAATGTAAAAGAACAATTATAGGCACTAAAAACTATTGCATTTGGATTCTATTAGATGAACTGTAAAGTGTTACAAAAAGTATAATTATTGGAACAAAAACACTAGGGTAATATAACACTGAGTTAGGAAAACACAAGAAAGTATAGTTGAGAGGATGATACTCAATATTTGTACACATCTAAAGTATGTGTCTAACAGTATATTCTCATGACATATAAAATTAAATCTAGTGAAAAAAATATTTTTCTAATAATACACAAATTATATAATATTTGGTAGTTAACCTGATAGAAATATTTGAGATGTATATGAAGCATGTCATACTTTTCCTTTTTCAAAACAAGAACAAAGATATAAATAAGAGAAATGCTCAGTTCATAACCGAATCATTCTATAAATTCAATGCAATTACTGCAAGGTAAGTACCACAAATATTTGATATCATTGCAAAATCATGTAAAATATCAATTTCAAATAAAAAACAATAATAGCATTCTTAGCTTAGCAGTATCAATAAGCCCAGTATTAAGTACTAGTAAAGAGAAATAAATGACTAGAACGGACAGTAGGATAAAGAAGCTACATATACAGTCAGATCTTTACTATGTGTTTAATTTTGCTTTCAAGTCAATAGGAAAATCAGAGAAGGATAGGTTTCTAGGTGATAGTGAAACAAGGACAAGTAGTTATATATACATAAACAAGAATACATTCTGGGTTAATTCCGTATGTAAATTACATGCAGCAAATATTTGGGCTGAACGTTTCCCTTAAACAATAAATACCAACAATCCATAACAGAAAGAACTAAACGATTTGATGAGGTAAATTTCAAAGTTCTGTAGATTAAATGAGTTATAAATTTAATCAGTTTCACAATTATATTTTACAAAGACATAAAAGCTGGCAAAACTTTGTTTTGTTTTAGATGGCCCAAATGTGGTTGCCCTGACTTTTCTGAGTAGGGGAATTGTCATTAGTAACTGAAATGGAACACATGTGGAGGAAAGTAGCTTGGGTTTAGTAATGTATGTCCTTACCATTATATCTCATGGGAACAGTACAGATTGTAATATATAACAGAGAGTGTAGTAATATATGCCCTTACTATTATATCTCATGGGAACGGTACAGACTGTAATATATAACAGAGTGTGTAGTAATATATGCCCTTACCATTATGTCTCATGGGAACAGTACAGATTGTAATATATAACAGAGTATGCACTTACAGACAATGATTCCAAATCTGTAATATATAACAGAGTATGCACTTACAGGCAATGATTCCAGGCAGGTTAGGATGGGCATTTGCATGACTATGCTTCTAGCTAATGATAATGTATGTCTTCGCACATGGCAGATAGTCAATACTGCTGAACTGAGGGGTGGAATGTAGCATGGGGGCCTGAGAAAGCAGGAGACAGAAAAACCTTCTACTTTTGATTAATCTATAGTTTTACATATTTGTTCGAGGAACATGTATTGTTTACAGAATTTTGTGTGTGTGTGTTTGTGAACCTTTGTGTACTTGTGTACATGAGCACACATGTGCATGCATACAGAGAAAGAGGCTGACATCAGGTATATTTCTCATTTATTTTCCACCACTGTTTCAGAGAGCAGGTCTCTCATGGAATCTGGCATTCACGTCAGCTCAATCGGCCAGCAAGGTCCAAGAGATTCTGTCTGCCTACTGAGGGCTGTGATAAGCGGAGCTCAAGTCCTACCTCTGTGTGAGTACTAGAGACCCAAGCTCAGCTCTATACAACCACATAGGCAATAACTAAGTAATTTAAGAAATTAAAAGCCAGTGGAAACTGGAGAGAGGGGCATATATGACCCCACAACATTCAACCCTACGCTTGATTAAAAGATAAAACTTAGATAGCATACTCTACCTGTGAGTCCAAGATACTGGAGATTTCATGGACACCAACATTTATTTCATCCAAATGCAAACAAAACAAATTTCTGGCAACCTGGACAAAGTCTGAAATTAACACATTTTGATAAGAACATAGCATTTATTTTCATCTAAACAGGTGTTTCTTTCTTCTCTGGTAAGTTAAAATTAAGAGTTTCAAGTTGTTAGCCTACACAAATTATCCTAAAACTGTACTGGTCAAAGTGACAGGTAAGTATAAACTCAAACAATAGAGAAGCCATTTTTTCTCTCCTTCAATTAGCTTGGTCACATAATTCAGTTAAGAAACAAGGAAAACACATATCACAGACATCTTATTCTCTAATTCTCACATTATGCATACAATGCTTTCTGGAAAAATAGGCAATATTATGGCATGGCTTTTCTGGAAGAATCAAAGGGTTCATATTAACAGCAACAGCGAGTCTATACAAAAACTGTATGAGCTTAGAGGCCATCCTGACCCCATTCCTTCATCCTCTGAGGCAGATCCCCTAGTCTACAGATGAGCAAATCTTAAACTTACCAAGGTCACTTGGCAAATCAGAACAGCCCATAACTTAGAGACACTGGGATGGTCTGCTCATTTATGTATCCTCAGTAGGTTTTAATTGGAGCTGTTACACTGTAGTGTCAAAGGATCCTCATGAATGTTCTCTGTTTTGACTTTACAAATTCCTGCTCTTACTTCATGGGTGAATTATCTTTTCTCATCTTTTTGAGAGTATTAATTAGTTTATCTAACATTATCTTCTGCTCTTACCATTTCTGTTTCCCTTTTTTCTGTTCATCTGATACTTTTGGGTTCCATATTTTAATGTGATCTTATCAAATGTCCAGAAACATTTGACTTTTGAGTTTATGTTTAACAATAAGGCACTAAAAAGTTGGCTGGAAATTTTGTGTGCATAACAAGCCTTGTCAACTGGAAAGATTATTTTATTATCAGAAAAGCAGTCTGGTGGTCTGCTGGCATTTTTTGTTTAGATTCTTGAGAGACATGCCTTAAATCCTCTGCTAAGGTTATAAACATGGATGCAAATGTCACTGAGCATCTGGGTACATGTTTTGAGCAATGACTCACCACAGACAACTCCAAATTCCCTTGCTGCTAGTCAGTATAGCTCCACAATATCTCTGGTTTAATTTATTAGTGAAATAAGTACCTTTCCCCCCTGGAAGATTAAGGAAATAATAGTTGATACACTGCTTGAGAAAGGGAAAAGGTAGCATGAATAAATGCATTAGCATGTCTAAGAACTATAACATGAGGGTCGGCTTGTTGGGGTATCTGTCCCACCCGGTACCCCACAACCGTCAAGCCCCAAAGAAAATCACACAAAGGACTCTAAAAGATTATAAACTGATTGGCCCATTAGTTCAGGCTACTTATTAGCTCTTATAACTTATGTTAGTCCATTATTTTTTATCTATGTTAGCCACATGGCTCAGTACCTTTCTCAGCGGGGCAGCTTACATCTTGCCTCTCTGATGGTCTGGGCAGAACTGCAGAGGGAGCTTCCTGCTTCCTAGAATACTCCTGTATTCATTGCCCTGCCTCTACTTCCTATCTGGTTGACCCACCTATACTTCCTGCCTGGCCAATCAGCGTTTATTTAAAACATGATTGACAGAATACAGACAATTCTCCTGCACCAAAGAACTCTGATTTCAATATGCAGCCTGAACCAGTCTAACGCCATAGTGGTACTCCATACTAGCTTGCCCTGCCTGTGAACCCTCCATCTTCAGATGCCTGGGCTTCTCCTGCCTCATACACTAAAATAGGTACTGCTCTCTCTGCACCCATCTCTGTTCTTATAAATTGTGTGTGTGTGTGTGTGTGTGTGTGTGTGTGTGTGTGTGTATGTGTGTGTGATAGGGGGGTTGTTGTTGTAGTGGTATGTGTATTTCTGTTTCCTGTTACTATTATTTGGGGGATGATTTGCAAGAGGAGATGGGACCCCAAATATCTGTTTTTCTTCATTTCAAATATAAAAAGTGAACTTCTATATTTCAACAGAGATGTTTTAAAATGATACAATGTAGCAATTATTATATGTGCTATAGAACAAATGCTAGAAAGTAACTATTACATTCAAGTAGTAGAATAGACAAAAAGGAAATAGTTTTAGGCATATAATTTAGTGATAGATATCGAAACTCCAAACCGTTGTGGGGTTATCCTATTAAAAAAAAGTGAAGAAATTGCTACATTTGAAAGTATAAATGCAGGTTTATAAAATGTCAATAAATATAGATTTGTAATAAGAGCTACTGAGAAACTATCAATATGCCAAGAGTGAAAATCTTGATGCATTATGCCATCTCTAAGAATAACTACTCTACGTAACAAAAACTTCCTATTCTACTAGCTGGAAAAAAAAGAAAGTAGAAGTAATTAGTGAAATTAAAATTTGTACATTTTATACTAATTTCTTTTGTTATTATTAAAGCAGTAAATAAAACATGCAAAAAGAATGTGATCAACTAATGATATTTAGCGCTGATGGGTCCTGATAAAGGTCTCTCTTTTGCTGACCCCGCCAGGTTAGCATCAGTGGCTCGTTTTAATGTACCTATTAAGGAAAGTGCAGTAGCATGGTGTGAGTTTGCACTCTCCCTCTGAGGAGCAAGCTGTCTTAAGGAAAATGGGTCACAATAACTTCCACCAACTGTCTGTGATAACACAACATGAAGGACAGAAGGCATTACCTCCAAAAGACACTGTCCCCTTTGAGTCGGCCTGGACTTGCTGTCTCAGGGCTTCATGTTGTTCCTTTGTTGGCTGAATACCGAGGTAATTGAGAGCCTGGAAGGAAATGGACTACGTAAAGCAATTTTCAAACCTCCAAAGGGTAAAACATTTCACTAGAACTGTATTTTACAATGTAGTGGAAAATCAAATCACCACTGGGGAACTGTGACCAGAATTAGACCCCTTGGAAAGTCTGTTGACTGTAGGTTAACTCCCTATAAACAATTACCTTCCTGAGCCTGCTGCCTCCCACCCCACAGCAAATATCTTGGTAAATGCCATATTTACAAACATGACTGTAAGGCCATAAAAATATTTTCTAGTCTATGTGATTTTATAGAAGAAAAATAACAGAAAATTTTTACTGAAGTCAAATTTATAGATAACATTAAAAAAAAAACATGAAAAGCATTTGTTTGCTATCTTGAGACTAGAATTGAAATTGGTAGAATTGTGTTAAATGAAAAATATTCTTAATTTTGGATGGTTTAGGGCTACACATAACTTCAAAGAAAATAAAAAAAAGGTTTCCCTAACACTTATTTCTCCATCAGGTGACCTGATAATGACCTGATTTCTCCTGGGGTACAGGAACTTCTGTCTTTACAATTACAAAGCAAGTAGACACTCCCACTTGTGCTCTCCTGTCCTTTCTATCAACTTTAGCCTTAGAGAGAATCAACCATAATTTCCAGTTAAAAGATATTTGCAGCTCACTTTGATGAGGTCCTGGGGCTATGTGCTAGCCAACGGGGAAGTGCTGGAGAGTATGCAGGAAGTCGCCTATCAAAAGCAGAGAAAGTAGTTCTCCCCTTTGCCTTAAGAAAAGGGAAAAAAGAAAGAGGTGATCAGGCACCCTAACTCACAAGGCACCTCAACGATGATGGTGGAACAGGAAGCCTATCTGAAAGGCTGGGATGTGGGTCCCTGACACTTGGAGTCTCTGTGCTTCTCTCTGGTTATTTTCTCCTGAACTTCTTTATGGTAAGAACACTGTTTCCAAAGGAAGCCACTGCTATTTGGGATTCTCTAGTTATATATACTGCAAACTAATTTGAATGCATAAGAACTGACTGGGTGCCCTATCACTGGATTTTAGCAAGAGTACATACAGTGTCAGTCAAATTAAACCTACATAAAAGTTATTAAAGGTAATTATGCTTGTCAAATATCTTCTCATTTGGAGTATGTTCACTTGTTTGGTGCTTACTGTTTGTTAGGCACGCAATTTTGTGCAATGGTATCAACAAACAACGTAGTCTCTACCCTTAAAAATCATATGGTCTTTAGGGTGAGAAGAACATGCAAATAATTTTAGTAAGTACAGGGTTTTATTTAATGCAGGTGTATAGAGGGCACACTATCAAGAAAAGCATTTGTTTATCTTATAGGCAAACACACAATTTGACTGGGCGCAGTGCGAAGAAACAGAAAGAAGGTCGAGTATCAGAAAAGATTCTTAAAATGTTTTAAAGGTTGGTCTAGAACCATTCATCTACCATAACAAAGCCAGAATTACTGTTAATATAACATTCAAGAAAGATTTTTAGCATTTGTGTATGTGTATGTCTTTTCATCTTGAAAAAGTTACAAGTATTTTTTTTAAAGAGATACAAAGAATACCTATGTACTTGGCTATCTTAAAATATTCAAGGATATTTATTTAAAATCCATACATACTTTCAAGAAATAAGACTACAGATTGAGTTAAAAGCTTCCTCTATCAATCATCACAGTAAATGTTATCCTAAAGTCAAGATATTCTCTTGCCCATTCTTTATTATTACTTAGTATGTAGGTACATGTAGGTACATGTTCCCTAATTCATGTCCACTTGAATGTGTGCACTTAGAATTTTATACAAATAATGTAACCTAAAAGGATAACTACAAATTTTAAATTTTATCTTAATTATTGTGCAATTGCTTAGTATTACCTACATACATAATTCACTTATTTTGTCATATTTCATTTAATGAATATATTTTAATTTATTATCCATTCTCTCATAGACATTTATAATTACATCACCATTTTTATTATAAAACACTATACATCTCTTCTTTTGTAGATGAATATAAATTTTTCTAATGCATATGCATATAAGAGGAGGTGATGATGCTGGGTGGTGGTGGCGCACGCCTTTAATCCCAGCACTTGGGAGGCAGAAACAGGAGGATCTCTGTGAGTTTGAGGTCAGCCTGGTCGACAAGAGCTAGTTCCAGGACAGCTAGGGCTGTTACACAAAGGAACCCTGTCTTGTAAAACCAAAATAGATAAATACATAAATTAATTTTTAAAGAGAGGAGATGATGAGCCACAGACATAGTGGCCACTCTACTGTCCTCTATTGTTCTTCAACTCTGAGAACTATGATTACGCTTTTACACATGTGAGCAAAATATAAACAATCTTAGCTTCTTTCATTCTGAACAGAACAGAATTTGTTGTTTTTCACAAATGAAGATTTATGACAATATCAGAAGCATGTTGTTAATTTGATTCTTCTAGTTACCAGAAAATGAGACGTATTTGCATGTTTGTTATCAAAAACCGACACACAAGTTGTTAGAAATATTATTTAAGTTTTAGGACATAGTGTTTCAGATATAAGTTTTAGTACTGGTTGGGAATCTGGATTTGGTCTGCACTACTGACAACCAATACAGTAGATATTGCCCAGTGTCCTCTGAGAAAGAAAATTAGTCTCCTGATGTTGGGATTCACTGCTCCGGGGACAATAACTATTACCAGTTTATGTGGTTTTCCAGGTTTTTTCCTCTGAATATGATGCCTGTGTATAAACTTACATGTATTAAGCTTTTTTTTTTTTTTTACAAATTAAGCTATACTCTATATAATGTTTAAAAGTTATCCGTATATAAAGACTTCTGTAAGGCAAAAGGACACGGTAAATAAGACAAAATGGCAGCCTACAGAATGGGAAACAATCTTTACCATTCCCACATTATCTGACAGAGGGTTGATCTCCAAAATATATGAAGAACCCAAGAAACTAGACATCAACAAACACAAAAAACTAAATTAAAAAATGGGGGTATAGATCTAAATAGAGAATTCTCAACAGAAAAATCTCAAATGACTATCGATTTTAGCCATTCTGACAGGTGTAAGATGGTATCTCAAAGTTGTTTTGATTTGCATTTCCCTGATCGCTAAGGAGGTTGAACATAACCTTAAGTGTCTTTTGGCCATTTGAATTTCTTCTGTTGAGAATTCTCTGTTCAGTTCAGTGCCCCATTTTTTAATTGAGTTAATTAGAATTTTAAAGTCTAGTTTCTTGAGTTCTTTATATATTTTGGAGATCAGACCTTTGTCTGATGCGGGGATGGTGAAGATCTTCTCCCATTCAGTAGACTGCCTTTTTGTCTTAATGACAGTGTCCTTTGCTTTACAGAAGCTTCTCAGTTTTAGCAGGTCCCATTTATTCAATGTTTCCCTTATTGTCTGTGCTACTGGGGTTCTATGTAGGAAGTGCTCTCCTGTGCCCATGTGTTACCGTCTACATCCCACTTTCTCTTCTATCAGGTTCAGTGTGGTTGGATTTATATTGAGGTCTTTAATCCATGGACTTGAGTTTTGTGCATGGTGATAGATATGGATCTATTTTCATTCTTCTACAGGTTGACATCCAGTTATGTCAGCATCATTTGTTGAATATGTTTTCTTTCTTCCATTGTATACCTTTAGCTCCTTTGTTGAAAATCAGGTACCCTTTGCCTGAGAGGATGTGGAGTAAGGGGAACCATCCATTGCTGGTGGGAATGCAAACTTGTGCAACCACTTTGGAAATCAGTGTGGTGGTTTCTCAGGAAATTGGGAATAAACCTACCTCAGGATCCAGCAATATCACTCTTGGGAATATACCCAAGAGATGCCCAATCATACTACAAAAGCATTTGTTCAACTATGTTCATAGCAGCATTATTTGTAATAGCCAGAACCTGGAAACAACCTAGATGTCCCTCAATGGAAGAATGGATAAAGAAAGTGTGGAATATATACACATTAGAGTACTACTCTGCAGTAAAAAACAATGACATCTTGAATTTTGCATGCAAATGGATGGAAACAGAAAACACTATCCTGAGTGAGATAACCCAGACCCAAGATGAATATGGTATGTACTCACTCATTTGTGAACTCTAGCCATAAACCAAGCACATTAAGCCTATAGTTCACAAGCCCAGAGAAACCAAATAACAAGATAAAACCAAAGAAAAACATATATAGATCCTCCTGGAAATTGCAAGCAAGCAAGATTGCCGGACAAAAGTTGTGAGCATGGGGGTGAGGGCAGGGGTGAGAGTGAGGTTGGGGAAAGGGGAGGGGGGGAAAGGGAAGGGAGAAGGGAAGATCTGGCAAGAGCTTGGGGATGTGGGAGGGTGGAAATGGAGGAAGGGTGGATATAGAAGCAGGGAAGAAGATATCTACATTATGGGAGCCATTTTAGGGTTGGCAAGAGACTTGGCTCTAGAAGGGATCCCAGGTGTCCAGGGGGATGTCCCCAACTAGGTCCTTGAACAGCAGAGGAGAGGGTGTCTGAACTGTCCTTGCCCCACGATTACACTGATGATTATCTCAAATATCACCATAGAATCTTTGTCTGACTACAGATGGAGATAGAGACAGAGACCCTCATCAGAGCAATGGACTGAGTTCCCAAGGTCCAGTTGAAAGGCAGAAGGAGGGAGAAGATGAGCAAGGAAGTCAGGACCGCGAGGGGTTGATCCACCAACTGAGGCAGTGTGCCTGTTCTAATGGAAGCTCACCATATCCAGCTGGACCAGGTCTGAATGAGCATGTGATCAAACCGGACTCTCTGATTGTGGCTGACAATGGGGGCTGACTAAGAAGCCATTGATAAAGGCACTAGGACTTATTTTTATGGCATATTCTGGCTTTTTGGGACCCTAGTCTATATGGATGCACAGCTCTCTAGGCCTGGATGTAGGGGGGAGGGCCTTGGACTTCCCACAGGGCAGGGTTCCCTTCCCTCTCTCAAGCAGGGAGGGAAAGGGAAAAGGGGGTTTGGGGGAGCGGGAGGGGATTGGGTGGAGGGAAGGAAGTGTAAATAATTGAATGGAAAAAAAAATCTCAAATGGCCGAAAGACATTTAAGGACTTGCTCAATAGCCTTAGTCATCAGGGAAATGCAAATCAAAACAACTCTGAGATACCATCTTACACCTGTCAGAATGGCCAAGATAAAAAACACAGATGACAACTTATGCTGGAGAGGATGTGGAGTAATGGGAGCACTCCTCCATTCCTAGTGGGAATGCAAACTTATACAGCCACTTTGGAAAACAATACGGCAGTTTCTCAGAAAATTGGAAATCAATCTACCTCAACACCCAGCTACTCCACTCTTGGACACAGTGCGGGACAATTGTCTATATTCTGTCAATTGTGTTTTAAATAAATGCTGATTGGCCAGTAGCCAGGCAGGAAGTATGGGAGAGACAACCAGACAGGAAGTAGAGGTGGGTCAATGTGAATAGGAGAATTCTGGGAAGAAGGAACTCCTGGTTGGCAGTGTGACCCCAGACACAGAAGAAGGAAGATGTGACCTGCCCTGCTGAAAAAGGTATTGAGCCATGTGGCTAACACAGAAAAGAATAATGGGCTAACAATATACGTTATAAGAGTTAATAAGAAGCCTGAGCTAATAGGCCAATCAGTTTACCATTAATATAGACCTCAATGTGATTTTCTTTGGGACTTAATGATTGTGGGATCCAGGCAGGACAAAAACCTCAGACAACATGGGCATATACACAAAGAATGCTCAACCATACCACAAGGACATTTACTATAACCTGGAAACAACCTAGATGCTCCTCAACTAAGAATGGATAAAAAAAAAAAACAGGGTACATTTACATAATGGAGTATCATTCAGCTGTAAAAAACAATGACATCATGAAACTTGCAGGCAAATGGATGGAACTAGAAAAAAAATCATTCTGAGTGTGGTAACCCAGATCCAGAAAGACAAACATGGTATGTATTCACTCAAAAGTCGGTAACAGATGTAAAGCCAAGGATAAGCAGGCTACAATCCACAGCCCAGATAAGCTAGGTAACAAGGAGGACCCTAAGAGGGATGCATGGATTGTCCTCGGAAGGGGAAATAGATGAGATCTCCTGGGTAAACTGGGGGCGGGAGGGGGAAGACTGGGGAGGACAGAATGGGGGATGAAAACATGAGGTAACTGGCTGTTTGAGTTTGGGGACGGATGGAGTGGAAGAGCAATGAAAGAGATATCTTGATGGAGGGAGCCATTATGAGGCTAGGGAGAAACCTGGTGCTAGGGAAATTCCCAGGAGCCCTCAAGGATGACCCCAGATAAGACTCCTAGTAATAGCTGAGAGGGGGCCTGAATTGGCCTTCTCCTGTAATCACATTGGTGACTACCCTAATTGTCATCATAGAACCTTCATCCAGTAACTGATGGAAGCAAATGTAGAGATCCACAACAAAGTAGTAGGCCAAGCTCAGGAAGTCTAGACAAAGAGAGGGAGGAGTTAGTATATGAGCAAAGGGGGGGGGGGTCAAGATCATGACAGGGAAACCCAGAGACAGCTGACCCCAGCTGTCAAGGACTTTGAAATGACAGCTGGGGAGCCTACAAGAACCAAAGTAGGTACTCTATATGTGGGTGACAGTTGTGTGGCTTGATCTGTTTGTGGGCCCCTGGAAGTGGGACCAGGATCTATCCCTGGCATATTAGTTGGCTTTCTGGAGTCCCTTCTTAATGGTGGGATGCCTTCCTCAGTGTTGATGCAGCAGCTAGGGACTGTGCCAGGTTTTGTTACTCATCATGGGAGGCCTTACCCTTTCTAAGGAGTGGATGAGGAGGGTGAAAGCGGGAGGAAGGGAGGGGAGACTATGGTTGGTATGTAAAATGAATAAAAAACTTAAAAAAAATTATCACAGATCACCATGTTGTATATTTTCTATCTTCTGTGTGTGTTCTGCAATTGCTCTAACAGTACACTGTTAACTAAACCAGCCTTTCAAAGCTCCCTCTTTTATTACTATTAGCTCATTTCATATCCCCACTTCCTAGTCATTCTTGTATAACAATGGTCAGACTTGGTTCTAAAACTAGTCACAAATATACAGAGATTTCCCAGCTTATTAGGGTTTTCATTTCGGAAGGCTTCTGTGAGAAGTTAAACCCATAGTTTCCTCTTGTTGAACTGTCTTTCATTAGGGACTTCTGCCTGGAAATTAGTAACAGGTGAGAAAAGACACATGTTCTCTGATATATGGCAAAGCAAAACAAAACAAACAAGCAAAAAAAAAAAACTGGGCTTAAGCAGGTAGGTATTATGGATAAAGAAATATTCAATCTAATCAATAGAACACACAGAGAGAATATAAGGAAGCACAGCATGACAGTTACCACTAATGAATATTAAAATATGGCAGTATTTGTGTAAGCAAACAGTCAGGAAATTCTGGGAAAAAGAGATAGATTTGATCATCATTTAAACAACAGGAAGATTTAAACTGGTGGTGAGAAAAGCACTACTTGGAACCAAGCAAAGGTAGAGAGATAAAAATAATTATGATGTTTATTCTAATTACAATGTGTTTGTTCTAGCTATTTAATTTTATATTCTTCTACAAACATGAAAGTCAGCATCTAATCTCAAAGGACGATAGAAGGTGTTGAATTCCAGCACTGTATCCAAATGTGGTATAGTTTTCTTCTCAGTTCCTCAGAAACTCCATCAATTTTAAAGCGCCTGTCACCTTTTTTTATGTATTATTTTTTTTTATTTTTGTCTTAGTCATCTTCTGTTACTTGTACATGATGCTCTCAATGCTTACTCTTCCTAGGGATATTTGTTAGCTCCTTAGTGCATTGCCATCATCTCTTTAAATTTTATTTGAACCTGGCTACTTTCTTCTTTACAATTTAATAATCCTTTAGTTTTTATAATAATGAAAAATGTTGCATTAATTCATTGCACTTACTGCTACTGTATATGAAGGCTACTAAACTTTGTTATAATTTCAATTATAGCTTGCAATATATCATATATTTTGTGTGTGAGTGCAGTGGGTACATATATACCGGCACACATCTCTGTATGAACACCAGAGGATAATGTTGACTGTTATTCCTCAATCGACTTCCACCTTGTTTTTTGAGACAGGGTGTCTCATTGGTGCGGAGCTTGCCATATAGGCTAAGCTGGCATCCTAGCTGGGGGGCTTTATTTCTGTGGTCAGCACCACGACCAAAGCAACTCGAGGAAGAAAGCATTATTTCATCTTACAACTCTCAGGTCAAAAACAGAGGGAGTCAGGCCAGGACCTCCAGGCAGAACCTGGAGGCAGGAACTGAAGGATGGGTCTGCTTCCTGGCTTGCTACCAATGGCTTGCTCAGCCTGCTTTCTTATACAACCCAGGACCAACTGCCAAGGGTTGGCAGTACCCACTGTAGGCTGGACCGACCCACATCAATAATTAATCAAGAAAATACCCAACATACTTGCCTACAAGCCAACCTGAGGATGGCATTTGTGCTTTGTTAGTTTGTAAGCGGGAATCCTTCTTCCCACGTGACTTCAGCTGTGTGAAGTTGCCATAAAAGCCAACTAATACAACTCCCTGGCCAGTGGACTCCAGGGACCTGCTTATCTGTCCTACCACAAGCCTGGCTTTTTAAAATGTGAGTTCTAAGGGACTGAACTTAGATGTTTAGATGGCAAGCACATTACCGTACACTGAGCTATCATCCTAGCCAAAGAGAAATTAATTTGCATGTCAGATTAGTAACCAAAGGTTTTATTTGTACTTTACACTAGTGAACTACTATGAACTTCCAAACTTAAATGTTATTAAATAATTGAAACTCAAGCTGTCACTCATCTAATTGAATAAGCTAATTCAAGAAACCAATGGCTCCACAACATTCTCCTCTCCAAGAACAAGGCAGCTCTTTCCTGCTGTCTTGTGAAGAAAACGAAATTTTCAGGGATTTACCATTTCCAGTTTCTCTGCCTTCAGGCGTACAGAAGGATTTAGGGAAATCTTCTTTCCTTGTGGTCCAGAATCACCATCAGTCCAGGCAGGAGCAACATCTAGGAGACAACAGGGTGCATATTAATTGGAGATCTAATAGGAACAGAACTTTTCATTTGACAAGCTGTGTTCTGGGCTCCTGCTGTTCAAAAATAATTCTGGTTAAAACAGTTGGCAGGTCTTACTTTTGTTTTTATGATTCTTTTCCCCTGTAAGTCTAAAATGTTTCATATAAATCAGCTTTACTTGTGTGTTGAAAGATATGCTATGCAGCATAGTAAATTCTGCATTATGAAGTCTCATGGAAACATTAGACTAAAGACAAGAGTCCTGACCATTATGATGCTCACCTCAATGCCCTGGTAACTGGAAGGTAAAAGCCTCCCTGTTCAAGCAAGGGAAATAATATTAGAGTTGGAAAGACCATGATATTTCTTTGACTGGAAAAGAGAGTACCGCTGTGGAAGAAGTCTGGAAAAATGCAAAGTGCAACTTCTAACACTTATGCACTGAAGGATGAAGTGGACATGCAACTTTCTGAGCTAAAAAAAATTCCCATTCCACTTTACAGAAGGACTGAGTTTCTAGCAGTAAACGTGGACTTTTAAAGAGTTAAACAAAATACTCTCCTCATCCATTTCCCTGTATGTTTTCAATGCAGCTTAATTATGCAGATATGCTTTTTCCTGTTTGCCAGAATGTAAAGTTAGATGCCACCAGGGGCCAGCCCTTGAGAAACGATTTAATATGTCACAGTTTTAAAGACAAATTTCTACAATTTATGTCAATCCTTCCTATCTAAATTGTCACTGTTCTAAATACACTCTTAAATGGTATTTTACTAGTTCTACATAGAAACAAGAGGAAGAGAAAAAACTTTTTAAAATGTCACATCTTTATGCAGTGTTTTAATTTTTTTTAATTTCTCAGAGCATCTGTCTCTAAGTACAGAATGATTTGCATTCTCTTTCTTAAGAACATAAGAAGCACATATGAAAATAAAGAGTCTTCCTCTAAACCTTTAACACATCCTCAACATTCTATGCAAAATCTTTAATATAGCTTATAGGTGTTAAGAGTAGATATAAAAAAATTGTCACTGACTTTTAGTTCCAAATGGAATTAAACCTTGAGAAGGGTTGACTCTAGTGTGACAGAATTTTTACAATTTTGCATACATCAAGAAAGACTCTTTGTTGTCCTGACATCTAATTGTTGGCCATGAGGTTAAGAAATATCAAATCCCTATTTTTAAGCATTAAAAGAAACTCTGTAGCAAACTCCCAGTGTGGTAGAGAAGATTACCACGGGGCTAAAATGGCATGGAAGAGCAAAGAGAGGGAAGGAAACTGTGTTTCTCAACTTTAAGGGTGCATCTTGAGATCTATTTTCAAATTGGTGCCTGACCTACAATTAAGGGTCCCTAACATCACGTGAACTCATGCTAACCTATCCGTGGTTTCAGTCCAAGTCTAACTGGGCTTAAAAGACTCTGTTCATGTTAAGTGTGTGAAAGTGTCACCGAGTAGGTTAAAGCAATGGGCACAGGAGAGAGAAGTGGACACACAAGACAGCCACAAACACAAGACACAGTTTGACTGTTTGCCTACAACTCACTGTGAAAACCTGGTATGGCAAGAGGTAGAAATAATAGATCAGCTCTATTTCCCCCAGGTAGCTAGTGAATGAATCAGACTTGTGTTCATTAGTCTTTGTAATAACCACAACGGCATAGGTGTTGTTATTCTCACCCTCATCAAAACCAAGGCCTGACGACAAGGTAAAGAAATTGACCCAGGTTGTCCATCCAGGCAGCGACAATGCTATGGTCTTTATCTCTAGTGACTCTACAGTTTTCATCGAAGTAGAAAGACTCCAACTGATATTTGTCAAGGACAGTAAAGACAAAAACCAACAAAGACATGGAAACAACTACAAAACCTGAGAAGAGACACAGTGCGAAGAGGAAAGAGAGATAATGCAAAACTACCCCAAGGCTGGGCTCCACAGCAAGCACCATGCCTTGACAAGAGCTCATTTCTTCAGCCTACCTTCCTCTCCAAACTGACTTCCAGGTTGAGTCTTGAAGAGGCGCAAGCACACCAAAGCGTGTTGACAACACAGAATTGTTTAAACCATAATGACCCTCAGACCTAAATTCCAATGACTCTCTCTATCCCTGTCTCAACCTCCCATTTGCTCCTCTCTGGGGGCCCTCTGCTTCTGTTCTTTTTTGGATGAGAAGAAAGGAAATGCTCTGTAAGAGTATGATCAACACTGTAAAGCTAATTTTTAAATGTTACACAAAACTTTAGAAGGTGTTTTTCCCCATCAGTGCTGTTTGAGTTTTAGAAGGCTGAGTGCAAAGGAATTAAGCCTTGTCCTACTGCTCACCTAATGACGCCATTCCTTATTCCCCAGGAAGGCTTCCCTTTATCTGCAGTTCACTCAGAAACTTGCATATTAGTCAACTCAGTGCCATGATGAACAATTCTGAAATCTTGGGCTAATTTATGTAATGGACAGATAATCTTAAATTATCTTCATGTATAATGCTGATCTTAAGTATTCTAACCAATTTTATACTTGCAAATAATTCTGAGACAGAAACAGAGAAGAGCTATCTTATGTTTATTTTTGTTGAGGTTAATATTAAAACGTGTTCACATTTTTAAAATAAATACTGCACTGGTTTGAATGTGAAGGATCCCTGTGGGCTCAAAATTTGAATAGTTGGTCCTTAGCTGTTGGTATTATGTGGGGAGGTTACAGAAGTTAGGGAAGCTTTGTGGGACCTAGCTTGTAGAGGGGTCAGGAGGGTTATGTGTGCCTTTAAAGGTTCATATTCACTTCTGAATCTGGCTTTCTCTGCAGCCTGGGACAGTAACCATGTGAGGAGCTTTGCCTCATGCCCCCACAGTCATGGGGTCTCTTAGCCATGCCTTTCCCACCGTAATGGACAGACTCTTCCCTGTGAAACTGTGACACCAAATCATCTTGTCTTTTAGTTGCCTCTGTCAAGTATTTGGTCCACTAATGAGAAAACTAACTAATGCGAATACCAACTGACTAAAGGAGTCTAGACGGTGATACTTAAGGATCTAATACGAAAAATCTATGCTGATGTACTTACATGCAGAGACACCACAACATATGCAAGTTATCTGGAGACAATTTTGAGGGTTCCCTTCCTGGCACTGTGTAAAACCCCACCCAGTAAATCTTGCCTACTGCATTTATGCAGAAATGTAAACATGGATCTGAGTTAATGCTAATTCTATCCTAGAAAAAGTATGCCAATGTTTTAATATTTTAATTTTATAAATGACTTACTTAAATACATTTCTTAATAACTACTTTCCTATTCCAAATTCAAGCAGATTTTTATAGGCATTGGTAGAAATCTCACTTTACTTACAATGGAAAGATCTGTGCTCTCATCAGAGCTGTCTCTTAGGGTCTGTGGCCCCTCACTTATCTGAGCTCTATGCTTTTGTTCATGAGTTCTTCTGAAATTAAGATGGTTTTCTGCCTGTTTCCTTTAAGACGAGGATAATGCCTGATTTTTGAGAAGCTGAGGTGTCTTAATTGTTTTTTGCATAGTATGATGAGCTCGTTGCTGTAGCCTGGTTTTGGAGGTAGAAGGAAGGACATAAAATTGACTCAGCAGGAAGAAGTCCTCACTTTTGCTCAAAAACCATGCTCTTGCTATGGAATGCTATCTGAGCTACATGTTAGCTTATGTTTCTGCAATATGATTAACAATAAAAATACTGCTGAAAATATACCATGTACCAATTACAATGCTAAGCACTTGACATGTGTGACCCTTAGTCTGTAACTTCCCCTTACGGCAACCATCTAAAGGTCACGGAGCTAAGAAATCAGGATCAAGGTTTAGGAACTCCCAGGCTGCTCCTGTTTTTCCCATACAACATGCAGTTCACTGGCTGTTTCTACTGATTGTATAGGAATTGCTTGCTCACTCTATCCTTAGTCTACTTTGTAAATATCTTTACATTATTGTGTACAATACAAAATCCATATGCATGTATAAATCTATGAAGAAATACATGTACATTTGAATGATTTTTTTATTTTAGTAATGAGGACGTTAACCTCATTAATTATTTTACAGTAATATTAAGTAACTCACAAAGATCCTCAATCTCTCTGGAATGTCTGCTGTGCTGTGTTTATTGTTAACAAGGTAACGTTTAACAAACATACACTAAACAAATGGCTAAAGGGACTAATTAGCTTGGTCACTTTAAAAATTGGAAATTTATTACATACATGATACATAATTTACAATATATCAAAGAATAAAGTGACCTGACTTTCACCAAGGAGCAACTCTGACTGACCCAGCATCTTGGTTTATCTGCTTTATTCATCTATCTTCTTTCCACGTGAATTCTCAATTTAAAATAAAAACAGTGTATCAAGAGACTGAATGTTAATTACATGAAAGAAATACTAATTAATAGTATTTCCAGGAATCACTAAATCTTAGTAATTAAAAGGTATATATTTTTGGCTAAAAATTACTAACCCACTGGAAAATACTTCTCCCAATCAGAGGAAATATATGATGGATAGAGCATAAATCCCTGGGAATTCTGTCTCAAGATGACTGTTTTTCTTTTTTTGTGTGTTGGGGATTGAATACAAATGTTCATGCCTGGTGAGCATGTGTTCTTCTACTAAACTATACAATTTGTCCATGTCCCAGTAGGTAATTAATCTAAACTAGTTCTCTTTATTTTGCAACTCTTAACAAAAATAGTGGTATTAAAAATTAATACATGTGATGTGGGAAGTCCTTTTGTATATGTGTTGTTTTATTGGTTAATGAATAAAGAATCTGCTTGGGCCTATGACAGGGTAATAAGAGCAAGGTGGGAATTCCAAGCAGAGAAAGAGGGGAGAAAAGAAGGCAGAATGAGAGAGACGCCATATAGTTACCGAAGGAGACAGATGCTGGAACTTTACCCAGTAAGCCACAACCTTGTGACAATATACAGAATAACAGGAATAGGCTAATTTAAGATAAAAGAGTTTAAAAGCCTGAGCTAACAGGCTGAGCAGTGCTTTAATTAATATAGTTTCTGTGTGATTATTTGGGGTCTGGGCAGCTGGAAACTAAGGAGCCTTACAAATTGTTGCCCAACGTGGGGCAGCTACATCCACATAAAACCTAAGAGAACTTGAAAAGAAATTCTAGACACAAAAAACAGAGTTTAGCACAGCTTCTTAGAAGCCACAATTTTTTTTTTAAAGATTGGCTCTGTTTGCTGGCAGTGAGCAGGGGCCACCATGGCTCCTTTAAGAGAGGTCTTCCTAATTCAGCATTGGCAGCAAAGCCTACGTGGCTTCTTAGGGGAGGGCATCCTGGTTTGTGCTAATGGTACAAAAAACTCTGGCACTTTCAGGGGCCTACAACGTAAATGGGGTCTGTTAACAGCGTGTTACAAATAAATTAATAGTGACAGAGACCCACTGTGACCCTGTAGCTGGGGTGATTGCATGGCTCTCATAGGCAGTAAACATGCCTCTGCCATGTTGCACTAGGCAGAGCCAACAGGCAGGGTCTGTGGTATTGGTCTTAGTCATGCCCACTGTACAATTCAATGTCTCTCTAAGTACAGGGAGACATTGAATTGTACAGGCTGCGAAGCTAAACCTATATATATATATAGTATCTTGACTAGAAAATTTGGGTCTACGAATGTGTAGCTTTGGAAAAGAGGTTCTGCTATTGTTTCCACAGAGAATGAAAACCTATGGATTTTTTTTTTTCAGACTAATGTAGTTTGAGGGAACAAGATCCCCCAAAAGCCTCCATAAACCTCTAAAAATACTTTGCACAACAAAAACCAAAAAACTACTCCCAAATTCCCAAATACTGTTTATAAATGTTTGTTTACATTTAGAGAGGAATATGATAAATATTTTGCATTGGTATGGATCTTGGTTTATTGATAAAAATTTATGGTCAATTTTGTTATATGTATATTTCTGCTCTTGATTAAGGTATTGTATTTGTGCAGCTCATTTAAAAATGTGATGCCTAATTAAAAAGTACAGGTGAATAGATAGTCATCCTTAATATGTTAAAACCTTAATGTTAGTTAGGTTTTCTAGATGAACAGAGATTATTTCAGATGGATAGGTATTCTTCAAATCTTTCAAAGACTTACAGAATAAGGCATTTAAAATGTTTTAAGAACTTAGAACTTTCCATGACAATGAGACACATCTATATCTGACAGTACCAATAACTTCCAACTCATAAGTTTGAAGCCATTTGAAGTTTATTAGCCATTTGGGCAAGAAACTGCTCTTTCCTGGACGGCTTGATGGTATGTTGTATAAACTGGACATGCAGAACCCACAGAAAAATGACTGCTCTACTTGACAAAACAAGGTGAGACAGTCCTTCTGGGTTCCTGCTTCATGAAAGAGTCTGCCAGACATTCTGCAGGAGACAGAAAAAAATGACTGACAAACTGCCAATACAGGTGGAACTGTCTTTAAAATTTCCTGCTTCATAAAAAAGTCTGCCAGATACTATGGGCCTGTAGGTTGAATACAGATGCCCTGAAATTACAGAAGGACTTTGGGTGACTATCCAGGTAGTAAGATGTCTCTGTCAATTTTAGAGTTTTGCAAGTTGCTTACAATGTACTTCCTGTTAAGTAATATTTTAACCTCCTGGGTCTTTGATAGAGTTAAAGAATAAATAGTTATAATTATAGCTTTTCTTGCTTATGATAAAAGATAAAATAAATATAAATATTGTAACTGTATTTGTAATTCTTACTTAATACCTGTTTTTATATGTAATTTTACTATGTTAAATTAAAACCTTTCTATTTGGACAGAAAAGAAGAAATGGTGTGGGAAGTTCTTCTGTATATGTGCTGTTTTTATTGGCTAATGAATAAAGAAGCTGCTTGGGCCTATGGCAGAGTAGAAGAGAGCCAGGCAGGAATTACAAGCAGAGAAAGGAAGGCAGAGTCAGAGGGATGCTATGTAGTTGTTGAAGAAAACAGACTCCGGAACTTTACCCAGTAAGCCACAACCTTGTGTTGCTACACAGAATATAGGAATGGGCAAATTTAAGATGTAAGAGTTAGTCACAAAAAACCTGAGCTAATAGGCTAAACAGTATTTTAATTAACATAGTTTCTGTGTGATTGTTTTGAGTCTGAGCAGCCAGGAAACAAACAAGCAGTCTCCACCTTACATACATGTGGGTTGCACTTTGAATTATAATTTAGCAACATGTATCTATCCTTTCAGTTATATTAAACATAGTTAAGAAATTGTCCTCTTTAATTTTAAGAGATAATTTTGGAGGAAGAATTAATCTTCTTGATATTTGAGACAATAAGATCTTTATGGTTTAATAAAAATCCTTTTCTATGTGCAGCTTAGACAATTTTCATTTTATTTTATTTTTAAAAGATCACCAAGTCACTTTAGGGTGATTCAAAACAATATCAAAGTCAGTATTGCTGACCTTTCTAATTTATATCCACACAGTATCTTCCAAAACAAACAAACACAAAAAACAAGCATTTTTTCTTCAGTTCTGTCCCATCTATATTGAGTTTTCAATGGTGCAGTGTTATATCTCATGAATACTTCAGTAAAGGGCAATAAATTGCATCTTGGCTATAGAAGCCTTTCATTATTTAATTATAACAATCTAACTATTGCTACTTTACAGACATTTATTATAATGTACTTCATAAAATGTATTAATTATTATAATACACTTCTAAAAATTTCAACTCTATGTTCAAATAAATTTCCAGCGAAAGCAAAAATTTAACAGGAAGCACCAAATGATACATTCATTTTGCTCTTTTATTCATTGAAGGAAGAAAAGCATACTATATCCTTCTTTAAAGTCCATTGAAAGTCATACTATGAATTCATCATTGAGAAAGGAGAATTGAAGAACAAAATTACAGGAATTAAATGGGAATTTACCTGAACTGGATGCATCTGTAGGGCTGTTATCCAAAGAAGTAATTGGAGTATGTTCTGTTTTATTGTATCCATGTTTTGTCTGTGAAAGAAAATGAGGGAGATGATTTTTAATTTTCTAAAGTAGGTCAAAAACCAAACTAGATGCTCATGCTAACATTAATAGGTTTAAAGAGATCAAAGCAATATTACAAAAAGTATGAAGCTCCTAATATTTGGTATGTTTATCTTCAAAGAAAGCATTTCAAAGTTGAAAGTAATAATGGTTTTGTCTCTACAGTGTCTAAGATAACAGAACAGAATGCCATGTCCCCTGCCTCTCAAAAGATGCAGTCTAAGGGCTCACAGGAACCAGGGTCTCAGATCACCATCTACCTTGAGCAAAACTTAGCCTATTGACTGAAAGTATACCCGTTTCTTGTTTAATTTTACTCTGAATACAAATTTAAAGAATCTAAAGTCTACTTTAGAATTGTGATTTAATAGGAGAATGTAGCAGATTGAAAGCAATTATATTAATTTGGATATATAAATTCTCTATGTCATACAAATCAAATAAGTAAGGTGAACTATTTCATAGGACACACATGCGAGGGTGAGAGGAACACTATAGACAGGATAGTCCAGATCAACCTCAGTCCGTAAGGACTGAACACACACAAACACACAAACATCCCCCCACACACCGAGCACCTATATGCAGTTAGGCAGAAGTGCTATCTAGTTGTATGTTGATATTTTCTTATTAATTTTTTTAAAGAAAGGATACATTGTCTTAAAAATCTATATTTTTGCATCATAAGAACCTAAAAAGGAAAAAAGTCTTTCAAGGAAATACTAACTTATTAATAAGCATTATTAATAAAATTATAATTCTATGTTGATTAAATCAACATAAAAAAACATAAACGGTTGATGAAATGAATATTAAGCTGGAGTTTAAGAGTACCTGAATTTCTTTAAACGAAGGTAAAATGGGGTTCTGAGTCTTCGGAGTAGATGAAGTCTTTGGAACTAGTGCTTCAGGAGGAGGGGAAAGAAGATTAAATGCTGAGGTTTGAGGTCCACAGTCTTCTGAAGCTTGTAATGGGGATGGACAGCAAACATTTGCTGGATGGTCACCATAAGATTTTTGTCTGATAAATGCTATCTGCCAAGGAGATTCTGACCTACGATGAAAAGAAATCACTTTGTGGATATGCAACAAACGCAATCAAGCAAATTCAAAGGTACTAGTAGAGTAAAAAACCTTTACAGTATTCTCAATCACCACCTTTCGATGTATATGCTAAGTGACTCATCCTGTCATATGGACAGAGCTGTTACCTCAACTTGGCTCTGGTAATTATGCTTTTTGCTTCTTCAAATGATACACCAATCATAGATTCCTTGTTTACTGAGACAAGTTGATCTCCTGGTTTCAAACGTCCATCCTAAAAAGAAAAGTCAAAGATAAAATCATGAAAAAAGAATAAAGTCATTTTAATAAAATTAATGTAGCAAAAGTAATTAATTTTTATGAATAATGTCATAAAGAGAAAAAAATTAGAGACCTCCAATAGCAAAATGTTTTACTAATGCCTGGTTAAGAAATATATATAAATAAAATTGTGTGGTTTACTCATGCAGTGAATACCCTCATGCTAACGCATCTGCTTACTGTAGGAAACAGGCCTGTATTCCAGGAAAAGACACTTGTTTTCAAAGCTCAGCACTATGAGTCTGATAAGATTCTGACTGATAAAGTGAGCCAGCACTCACTGCACATTAAATATTTCAGAACAGGACACTCACCTCTCCTAGAATGAACATCTTTCCTCTGGTTAATGAAGATGTGAAGATACATGTACATACAATATGTACCTACGTACATACCTACACACACACAGACACACACACATACATATATGCACATAATACAAACATGCATGCATATTCATTCACACACACATACAAAATGTCCATACAAGCACAAATACACTGATATTTAAAAAATGAAGTTAAGAAACCTAACTATATTGATACTATCCAAATCTCAGTTAATAATTGAGCATCATTTTTACTAGACTTGCTAGTCCTCCTGTGGCCAGGCTATGCATATAGCACATCATGCTGATTTAATTGGCTGTCTCCGTTAAGCCCTAGCCCTGTGCATAGCTACCTCAAGTACGTAAGTCCCGGCATTATCAATTTACAAGATTGATGTGGTTGCTGGGCCAGCATCTCAGTCACTTGATTTTTTTGTTTGTTTGTGTGTGTGTGTGTATGTTGTTCTGTTTTCCTTTCTTTTAGTTCAACTGAGAAGGAAAGTTCTGTTATTTAACAGATTCTAAGGCAGTTCTCTTTATTCATTAGTACAAACACAGAAAGTATTATTTCCAGTACTATAGGAAAAAAAGGATTAAATTCTGAGTATCCTCCAAAGTCTTGTTTGCTAGAAGACTGGTTCATGGCTTGGCGTTACTGGAAGCAGCTGAGACTTTGGGAGGTGGGTGACCGGGTGGATCTGGAAGCACCGAGGACAACCCCCAAAGAGGATTATGAGACGCTGGTTTCTTCTCTTTGGTTTCTTGGACCTGAGATGAGCATTGTCACGCTGTCACATCCTGCCAGAATGTGTTGTCTTATGCCAACAGCAATGGGCCAATCAAGCCGGAACTGAGCCATGTGAGTGTATGAATCCAAACAGACCATCAGTTGACTAAATCGGGGATCTAGTGTAGTAATGGGAGGCTGACTAACACCCAAGGTTTAAAAAGGTCGGTTTTTACTTTGATAGCGTTGGAATAATCTCTACAAATTCAAGATCCTTGACTGAAAATCTAACCTGAGCTAGTAGCGTGCTCAGCCACAGCTGGGCCATTCCCCTCATCGACAGCTCAGGGACACTGCTGAAGATGAGGCAGAAATGTTCTAAGAACCAGCAGTCAGAGAGAATTGGAGGGAAACAGTGTCCAAGGGACATGACGAGACCACCACATCCTTGAACTCACAGCGAATGTGGCTGCCTGCACAAGTCCCGTAACACAAATGGCCAAGCTGGTCGGCAGGCCAGCGTTAACCTCACACCTGAGAGGGGACAGCGTGGAGGTTAGCACTCAGATAGATCTCAATTTGAATGTGAGCTCTGCAATTACTAGCTAGATCTTCGTTAACAATGAGAAAAGGGGATGGGAGAGCACATCCTTTCGCCAGGAACCAGAAACTAAACTACAGACATCTGGAGCTGACTCCTATGTTAATGTCTGTTATAGAAAAGCACTGTTGGGATACAGAGAAAAAAGCTAGAAAAAAAAAAGCCCAGATGCGCAAAAGGGCTTAGGCTGACCTGCAGCCTCCTGCACTCTCTTCTCAAGCTATACAGATCCCAAACCTGTATGTGTTAAAGGAACATTTTGCAGAACATACTGGAAGAAGGCCTCTGGTCACAGGTTTCTAGTATGTATACATATTTCCATGTTTGAACATGTCTTTGCAGCAATTAGTGCTTGTTTTGCCTCTGATAGTGAAGTATCAGCTGATCAAATGAATTTCTGAACCTGTTTAAAAGTCAGAGCATGTGAATAAAAAAGCCAGTTTTGTAAAAGTCTGACATCCTAAGCAAGTGGATTCTGCTCCAGGCAGACTACATGCATTATATGTGCAGATACGACTTGAGGGAATGCCAAAGTCTCTACCACTCACAGGTTATGGAGCAGCTGCACCATTTGGCAGGCAAAATGCCAGGCATGTCTGAATACTGAACTTCACTTTGAACATTCTCTCATTTGACGGTAATGTACATGCCAAAATAATAATGTGCTCCTGGTCACTTCAGTTCCTCTGTTGTAAATAGCCGTGATTGTTCATTTCAATTATGATCATATTATAAAGTTTTTAAATAACATATTATTGCATTATCAGAAACCATCTACTGAGCATGATTCTGACAGAACTAATTCATTATTCAGAAAGGAAATGTTGCTTCTGTGAGTCTTTGGGTTTCTTCCCCAAACTGCAAGCTAGATGTAGCCTTCTTTGAACTCCAGTGACTACTGTAAACATAAGAAAGTTGCTTAATGTCTCTGAAACTCCCTACTCCTTTTCCTAGCAAAAAAGTTGGTGCAAGCACCTACAATACAAGCTTAGTGTAAGAATCAAAGAATCCAGGCAAAACACTTTGTAGGTGGTAAACAAGGTAAGGCGAATCTGTCCCACGTTTGCTATGGTTCATCTGCAGGAGTTCAGTTATGCTGCTCTTGAGACAGAGCACACAGTTAGGAACAACTTGAAAGCCCTTAACTTCCCAAGCCTGTTGGAAACTAACTACCGCTTTCTGGCTTCTCCTCACACCTGTCTCAGCGGAAGTTCCTCCTCCTCTTCTCAGAGCACACTCCTCACACCAGCTGTCCTCTTCATAGTTCTGTGATTTTACACATGGCCACTTTCATCAAGAATGCTCCCATCTGCTCCATTTCTCCACAGGATGAACCCTCTCACCTCACAGGCAAGCAAACACCATTTTTCCTGAACAAAAGTCACATCTACTTACTTCTGTCATAGCACCTACTTTATACTGACTATCCTACTTCATTTACTTCCACCTTCCCAAATTATAGTATATTAATATTGATAGAGCTCTCAGATGAGTCCCACTTATCCCTTGGTTGACCAGACCCTGCTACCACGCGGTTCCCTAGCACAGTGCGAAGGAATCTGATCAGTCAACAGTAAGCTAATGAGGTCCGGGAACTAGTTGGAGGAAGTTAATGTGGTTATATAACAGCAGCAAAGAGTGAACCGTCCTGGCTGCTGCTTCCTCGCTGTTACCAATGGGATGGTGTCTGTCTTCCTCAAGCCTTTCTTTCCTGTGTATCCTGAGGCTTTGGGCAGAGGTCAGTCATGGGCTCAGCATATCCTCCAAGCATCTCCTCCTCTAAAATAAAAGATGGTCTTCCAGGCTTTGTGAGTCATGACTAACTGGAGGCGCCTATGTCAATGGGACCTTTGTCTTTAATTACAAGGTTGACAAAAATTCCTCAATTTATCAAAGCTAAGATGTCAATAACTCCAAGGGACTTTCTTTCTTTATGGAGAGAGAAAGAATATTGACTGCCAAGTACACCATGGCACTGTTGTGAGAGGCAGTGCAAATTCAGAGCTAGGAGAGTAAATATACCCGAACAGGCAACAGGCATACTGCAGAGCTACATATATGGATATCATGTATAGAGTTTATATATGTATGTTAAACAGTCTTACGATCAGCTAGATGAAATATGAAATGTTACTTCATATTTGCAGAAGCTTTCTCCTTTATCTTATTATAAATGAAAGAAAGAAAACATTTGAAAATTTCAAAATTATTATCCTTCATCTGATAACTGGGCCAAAAAGGAGATACACAGCCAGAAATGTGACAGAGTGATCATGGCAACATCCATTCATTAATATCTGAGTGAATCACACCGAGGAAGGTACTGTAAAGAAGTCAGACGGCAGTACTTGTCATTAGCTAGGCGGTGGTTCGGCCTATAAGATAATCAAGGAGACTGATGGTTCATTACAACCTGAGTTAGGTGACATGAAACATGGGAACAAGAGCTAGACACACACACAGGAGTGATAAAACCTGGCCTTATCTGCAGGTGCACTGGAGGACAGGAAACAAATCCTCTGCCAAGTGTTCTTTAAACCGGTATCTGGAACAGTACAACAGGAAGGAGGTGCTGTTCCCAGCTTAACGGAACAATATACCTACATAGAGATAAGGAAGGGTTGGCTCTCCCAGAAACAGGGAATACAAGCTTGTAAGTGTAGAGATGGAGAAAGAGAGCTGAAGGCAGAAGGGGGTCTACACAGAGGCCTGTAGGTTACTAATACCAGTTAAGGGAGTTTGGCAGGAAGGGACATAGGCAAGGTGCATTAAGAGCAGATAAAGCAACTGAAAATGCCAATAAAAACCAATGCCAGACTAAAGCGAGAGATTGTTCAGTCAAAAGACTGCCTGTTATGCAAGCAGAAGAACCCCAGTACAGACCCCCAGCACCCACAGAGAAAATGCATGCAATTCCAGTGCTGGGAAGGGAGAGAGAAGCGGATGCTCAGAGCCAGCTGGCTAGCCAGTCTAACTTTATCAACCAGTTCTAGGGTTGGTAAGAGACCCGTCTCAAAAGTTAACATAAAGAGTAACAGATAAAGACATTGGCGTTGAAAGCTAACCTCCACTTTCATGTATACATACATGTGCCTGTACACACACACCACACAGACACACACAGAGGGAGAAGGAGAGGGAGAGGGAGGGAATGAATGACTAATAGGCTCGAGAAAGAGCAAAAAGGTCAATAGTATGTGCTAAAATAAATTGAAATGCAGTGTTATGATAAACAAAGAAGGAAATGATTGGGAAAGAGTTTTGAAAAGTGATTGAGAAGAGGCTATTACTTGGGAAGAAATGAGAAGAAAGTTTGAGGTAAGTATCATGGCTTGTGCCATTGTACCTCAGAAATGTTGGTTCTGAGACACATCTAGGACAGCTAAGTGAAGATTTTCATCAGGAAATTAGAAAGCTGAACATAAAGATAAAGGGAGTGTTGAGTCAACAGGTTCAGGAATGTTCTTTGAGTGCTCTAAACTACCAGGGACTAGTTAGGGTTTGGAAAGGACTTTCAGATTCTCATATCTCCTTATTCAGAACCTGGTGCATTTCTTCTCAGTGTACAGGCTGCCTAGAGCTCTTAGAGAACTCTGCTACAGAAGATCTGATGCCCTCTTTTGGCATCCATAAGTACTGTATATATATGATAAACACACAGAAAAACGTGTATGTGTGTGTGCGTGCGCACATGCACACACACACAGAATTTTTAAAAATTATAGCCTAGTTAAAGCATACATGAAATTCAGAAAATAATTAACAATTGATCAGTCTGGCATTCTAGTACAGAAAACTTTGCAGCCTATGTTTCTATGAATATAACCACCATGTAGAAACTCTGTACAGATTAAAATTGTATTTTTATGTTAGAGCTAGTGTAATGACAGCTAGTCAGGAAGCTAAGAGAAGAGGGTGGCTCAAGTTCTACCCGGACTCCTCCACTTTCATGTACATATACATGTACCTGTACACACACACACACACACACACACACACACCCCACACAGACAGACACACACACACAAGAGGGAGAGGGAGAGAAAATGAGGGAGAGAATGACTAATAGGCCCAAGAAAGGGCAAAAAGATCAATAGTATGTGCTAAAATAAATTAAAATACAGTGCTATAATATGTCCAAGGCCACCCTGGGCAACTTTGTAAAACCTTGTGTCAAAAATAAAAGAATAGCAAGAGTGATAGGACACTTGCTTAAAATAAAATCGAGATCACTAGAAGCATATTATCAATAAAATAATTGAGTAAATATGCATTATTTTGTATTTGCATATAGCATTCTGAAGGAAATATTTACAAAATAAATACAAAGACCGGAGAATTAGTTATTCTTCTATACTTTTCTCTAATTGGTTTTCTTCTTTTGCATTTGACCTGAACATTAATAACTTCATGCTGCTCTCTAGTGGTAAACGAAGAAAACAAGCCATTAGGCTTTCCTACAGTCTGGTTTCTCAACTGAGTCTTTCTCTCTCAGATTACTACAGCTGTTTGTGACAAGCTGACATACAACAAGCCAGCACAGAGATGCCTTCTGAAAGTTTTGTCTTCTAGAACACCTCAACCAACAGGAAAAGGTATATATCATGAGCATAATTCTTAATCTGCTATATTTACAGCAGGAAAAAAGCCACTTAAAATTACTATGTTCAATTTAATAGTCTGATTTAAAGTATTTATGGAAATGAAAGGGCATAAATTTTATCAGGCATCTTGAACTATTATTGCACCTTACCCAAAGTATCTTAGTTAGAAGGGCAGGGTGGTCGTTAACATGAACGTTTGAGAAGTTGCCTTAAGAGGACTGGCATGAGTTGGAGGATGTTTGGGTTATGCAGTGAGTTCCAGGTCAGCCAGATCTAAAACAAAGTCTCTGTCTCAAACAGGCAAGCAAGTAAACAACTTAAACTATACCAAATGCCTCAAGTCTCCCGTTCTCCCCACCCGCATCTCTAAGCTTTTAAACTGTACTGAGAGAGAATCTCTTAATTCTTGCCAAAAAGACTATTGGGGAGAGGGGGTTTGAATTTGTTTAACTTTAACATTAACCTATGCTATCTGTCTAATGATCTAATTTGAATAGCTTAAATATAGATCTTTATAATACCTTAACCTTGCATAACTTAGAATTTAGAAGGTATATTGGAAAGACGCTTATTGTGCTGAAACACCATACCCAAAAGCAGCCTGGGCAAAAGAGAAAAACATTTATTTCACTTACACTTCCAGACAACAGTCCATCACTGAGGGAACTCAGGGCAGGAACTCAAGCAGAGCAGGAAGCTGGAGGCAGGAACTGATGCAGAGGCAATGGTGGAATGTTTCTGACCTGGTTTGTTCCTTATGGCTTGCTCAGCCAGAACCACTAGCCATGATAGGCTGGATCTTTATGTATCAATCACTAATTAAGAAAATGCCCTAGCTTTCCTACAGCCTGGTCTCTCAACTGAGTCTTTCTCTCTCAGATTACTACAGCTGTTTGTGACAAGCTGACATACAACAAGCCAGCACAGAGATGCCTTCTGAAATGAACAAACCTGAAACAGCTCAATCATATCTCTCTCTTTCTCTTTCTCTCTCTCTCTCTCTCTCTCTCTCTCTCTCTCTCTCTCTCATCTTTCGTGAGGAAATAAAATCCAATAGAAAAGACAAACTGTTTGCTCTGTAAGAGTCTACAGTGAGAGAAGGGTAAAAGTGAAATTATTTATTTAAGAAAATCCTGAAAGAACAAATTTAAGAATAAACATAGAAGATCCTTAATCAAGATATCTAGGTTGACATAAACAAAACCTCAAAGGGGTAACAATGCCAAAAGCATGGCAGTTTGTAACTAAGTTGCTGGAGTTTTGTTTAAAATCTGGCCATGACTTTCTTAGGCACCAGACAAAGAAATGGATGGTCTATCATATCCATGTGATTAAGGAAAAAAGGCTACCCACTATCTGCACTTACTTCTAGATCTAGTTTCTCATACCCATGTTGAATCTAGTCTCTTGTGGACAAATAATAAGGTCAACGAGCGAGTCAATGAGAATTACTGCAAATCAGGAAATGAGAAGTTTGCTGCTTCGTTTCCTTTTGCAATTAGGAGGGCAATCAGATGCAGCTCAAGGTCAGGTGACCAAAGTGATCCAAAGTCAGCAAGCACATAGGCAACATGTCTTCAGATACAACTTCTCTGAACTCTGCTTTGGTGATGATTTGAACAGCGTGCAATTATAAGCAATGAACCTTTAGTTAGTGTCTGACATGTTCATTACTTGCTTCCTGGAGAATTTATTTATAAGTTAGGCAAAAGTCCTTGAGGGTAAAGGTCCCCTTGTATCTTTTATTGAGGACATTCAACTCATATAAAAAGTTTTCCTGAAGGAAGAAAACAAAACTTACCACTGGTGCATTTCTGTCATTATTGATTGTTTTATGTTTACCTTGTAACAGTCGCCTCCAGGAATGACTTCCTGAATATACACCAACGGGCCTTCATTCCTGTTAATTCCGCCTAGGATCTTTAAACCCAGGCCTGTTTCCTTAGTAACTGTAATCACTTGAAAGGCAGGATCCCTAGGATAAAATGTATTAGCACTTACAGGTTAGACTAGAGGTCTGTACATAGTTTTCTTTCAGCTATTTGTTAGATCAAATTGTTAGAGGTATATATCCCAAAATAGGTCATGCCTACTAGCAATGACATTTGAAAAATATCATAGAAAAAAAGTCAAATGAATTTATATCAGTATTCTCAATCCTCACATCAAACAATTAGTGACAGCAATATACCTATTTCTTAGGAATATAAGAAAAGCAATTGTTAAATGTTGCCTAATTAAATTCCAGGATTTACTAAAAAGGGCCTGAGATTTGGTTTTTTTTTTTAAATCTGTTTATAAGATTGGCTCTAAAACCAAATGTTTTAATGTATCAGGTAAACAACTTCATGTTTATACATACTTAGAGCAAAATAAACTTACTTCCACGTAAATCTCAAAAAATTATCCTTTTAATTTAGGAAGAAGATTTATTGTTACAAAGCACTTGCTTCAGTTGTAATTTCTGCTGCACATGAGAAATGCCACCAAAAAAAAACTGTCAAAAGAATTCTACAAAAGGTAGGTATGCCAACCAGTTGTATTTCTGAGCAAGTGGGTCAAACAAAACTTAAGCAAAGTTAGAAACAAAGCTGGGCTTCATGCTTCTACACTGCTTACTGAGACCTGGGATAAGAGGTATGAACAAAAATGTTAATACATTTAGTATTTGTAAAACCTTTGTTCTAGCTGTTTGCACACACACACACACACACACACACACACACACACACACACACACATTTTCATCTTAGACTATTTTGAAGAATGGAATATAAAAATACATACATACATATGTCTATATCTACTTTTGTATGTATGCATGTCTATGCATTTGATTATGCAAAAAGGAGAACCAAAAACAACTGAAAGAATAACAATGATTATCTACAGAAGGCTGAGGGCACAGGGCAGTACAAGTTTGAGGAGACCTTCCCTGCTTGAACCTTGTAAAATGTATGTTATCTGTTTATAAAATATTTACCAGCTTCTTTGGTTGCTGTCCACAAACCACTTGGTAAGGAGCCTTTAGACAAGCCATCGTTATCTTTCCTACTTGAATTTGGCCTTTCCTATTGGATTACTTTGGTATCCACAGGATACTAACAAAATCAAATGTGAGGAAGACAGATATTTGCAAAACACTTATGCTGCCTGCTAGGAACCATTCTGCTACTGTTTGACAAGGCCCAAGTTAGCCTACTGAAGGATGAAAGATCAGATGGAAGGAGGAGAATTCAGTCACCCAGTCTTTGAGTTGAGCTGACAGACATTGTTATGCCATCTATTGCCCACCAGAACTTCTTAGCCAGCCCACAGAATTATAAGGAAAAAAGTAATGCTTATTATTTTCAGACATTTGGGGATGGTTAGTCAGCAAAGGCTAAACTTAGATAATTTCAAAAGAATGAAACCAGATTTAAAAAACAAAAAAACCCCACAATCTGTACCAGGAATTTTAATGAGCATGCAGGGTTTACTTTGTATGTTGATTTACACTTTACTATGGTTTGAAGGGGTCCCCCAAAGGCCTGTGCTAAAAGGCTTGAAGTGCTCTACTAAGAAGTTACTGGTGGTATCTTCAAGAGACAAGGCCTAGTTCCAGGGCTCTAGATTCTGGGAGGAATGGCCTGAGAGTGACACTAAGATCTACTATTTGGCCACTCTGTAGTGAAGAGACCAGCGGGTACATGATGTGGCTGTGTCTCCACAGGCTCAGAGAAGAGAAGTGAACACATGCCGAAAACTGAGCCAAGAGTCCTTCAGGTTTCAAAGCGGACTATCTCAGGTGTTATGACCACGGGACGGAAGACCCACTAGCACACACCAAAGCCCCAGTAATTAACATGTTATTTTACTCACAGCTCAGCACTGCTTCCCAAGGCCACACAGCCACAAAACAAAACTTAAGAGTGTATACATTTCAAAACATATTAAATCACATTTAAAAAAATTACTTTTCAAGTAGGCTGGATGATCCTGCAGCAGATGTATATTTATTCATGCTTTCACCACAGTTGTCTTGGATTTAACAGCTGTGTAAAGGAAGAACTTGAAGAGTCTAAATATTCTTCTTTTCTTCAGACTGGAATAACAGAAAATAATTTTTCAAGTCTTAGAACATTTCAATGTAGTTCCAATGTTACATAAAGACATTATACATGCAGGACTGAAGAGACGACTCAGCTATTAAGAGCACTGCCTGCTCTTCCAAAGGTTCTGAGTTCAAATCCCTGCACCCACATGGTGGCTCACAACCACCTGTAATGAGATCTTGTGCCCTCTTCTGGCCTGCAGGCAGACATGCAGGAAGAACACTGTATAAATAATAAATAAATCTTAAAAGAAGACATTATATAAGTGTGGCAATAAACAACATAATCCCATATAATTTTATTGCTATATTTATCATGGGCTATGATATTTTAGTCATTGATGGTAACATCTGAACTACCAAGACAGCTCTCTATACAGATAGACGGACTGATCCCAACATTGCTACGAACATATTAAATACATGTTCTTTAGTACAGGTGACGAACACAGTGATGTCTTCATCAGTGATTACGACTTCCGTGAGTGATAAGCTTAAAATGCAAAAGACTGGAAAGTGTCTCCTGTAAGCACAAGGCTATGGAGCTCAGAAAAATAATTACACAATATAGCTGAAGAAAACAGAAATCCCAATCTCACCAATTCCCGAGGGTCTTCTTGCAGATTCTATATAACTGCAGCTCATATTACTCCACTTTACGTGTTTCTTAAGCACTTTCCTATGAAAAGGAAAAAGACATGGTTTTAATGTCTTATATAACTCCACAGTGAATAATACAGAGTTGCTTAATTAAAATAAACTACATTCAGGCAGAGATTCACTATATGTGTATGAAAAATGCGAGCGAGGCCAAGGAACTTCCCTTCAACACCAGGAATGCACACTACACGTAATCCTTTAACTCTCACTTAAGAGTACTCCTGAGATGGAGAGAAGAGACATTCAAAGGATAAAGTATCATTTTCAACCAAAAGCAGGTCTTTCTTAAAATTTCTTTTTAACTGTGACATGGTGCAATTGATTGAAAACAGCCAATACTTTAGGGTTGAAAACCACATCTGGATCCTTTTGTACAATCCTCTTAACTAAAGAACTGAGCAAGGCGATTCAAATGTATGGTGCTTCCCCACATCGACGCATAGTGCTTGCTTCCTCAGTTAGAAGTTGGGCTTTGGAGCCTACAGAAAAGATCTTGGCACTCATTTCCCCGGCCTCCAATTGATGTTTCCGGGTTTCACTAAGTCTGTTGAATACAACAGGCCTCTTGATAGCAGTGATGTTTCCGTCAGAGTACTCACAGGGAGTGGAAACTTACCAAACTGTTCCCTTTCTCTTAAGTTTGGTGTAAGTCAATCACAGAGTCAGAGAACTAAAACCAAGGGGTTTATCCTACCTTTTCCCCAACCATTGTATATAGGAGAAATAACCTCTTCTCTGTAAAAACCGATGGAGCCCTGGACAAAGGAACCAACAATCCATCTTTTGGGACCTTAGCAAAGATACTCCCTGGGCGTTAACAACATAGCTACAATGTAGGACATTCCAGCACCTACAGTAGCAAGTGGGACAGTGAAGGCATTCAGGTCATGAGTGCTCACAGAAATGATGCCATCAAGCCACTGCACTGCCATCAACAAAACTCCAGCGGTAAGTTTCCCCCTAGGAAAGCAGAGATGAGACTTGAAGACAGAGCTTGGATTGATACTGACTCGGAGTCTGGAGCTACTGTGCCATAGAGAGCTCAATTCTAAGAGTGTTTGCACGGACTTTTCAGACTGCTTTAATAATGGAGCACAGGGCAGCCATAGCCCTTAAAAGAAACGTTCAGATATAAAATAGGAGTGGCTACTGTTTATTGACACCATGTGTCAAAGATTATATTTATTTTATTGTATATCACAGAAAATGTAAGTTGAAAAATCAAGAATTACAATATTGCCATGTGCTAGTGACATGGCCTCAAAAGTCAATTAGTTTTTTGGCATTATCTCATACTAATGTAGAAATAGCAACACTAGTACAAAGGATGATGTGAAAAAAGGAAGGAGGGAAGGAAGGTGGAAAGGAAGAAAGAATGGAAGGAAGGAAGGAAAGAAGGAGCAGGGGAGGAAGAAGGAAGAAGGAAGAAAGGAGAAGGAAGGAAGGAAAGAGGAAGGAAGGAGAAGGGGAGGAAGAAAGGAAGAAAGGAAGGAAGGAAGGAAGGAAGGAAGGAAGGAAGGAAGAAAAGAAAGAAGCCCCAGCAGATTTCCAGTGGTTACTAAAGTGACTAAGATCCCCATCTAGTGGCAGTTTGTCCTCATAAAACAGAGGTCCTCAAGCCTCCCTGGAACACACCCAGAAGTAAGTATGTATTAATGCTAGTCTCTATACTGGATTTCACGTAATGCCAAATGCCAAAATTGGAGTTTTAAACAAAATTCTATTTTAATGTATTAGAATTTAAGTGACCAAATTATTTCACTCACTTAAACATGCTGAGCAGTGCACTAGCTGGTTACAGATAACAAGGAGCAAAAACTAGCTTTAGAGACAAACAGACGGCGGGAGGTGTGGGAGTGCTGACAGTGGTGTTCACAAGGGGGCTGAGGAAGTGTGGAGGAAGCGTGCCTATCCCAGAATCAGCACTGATGTTTCTGTGTTTTGTCATCACTAACCATCAGGAGAGCCTGGGCCACTGTAGGTTTTCTAAACCTGAAGCCTCTCAAGGCAAACATTTTTTTTGTATGTGTACACAAAATTTACAGAGAAACTATAGGACTTATCTATTATCGCAGGCCAGAGGCCAAGTGTAAGTTAAACTATTTTTTCTAGCATTAAAACTCAAGCCTTTTCTATTCCAGCATGCTATGAAATAAACTTACGTGAAAAACACCATGCTAAGCCCTCCCCAAATTGGATGCATGTTAATGGCAGTAACACATTATCTCTTTCCATGAAGAGTACGGAAACTTGCATAATAGCACGAGTTTAATCTTACCCATCAAAACAGTGTGTGTGTGTGTGTGTGTGTGTGTGTGTGTGTGTGTGTGTGTTACTTGTTAACAGCTCTGCAACTGTAGATGCACACGCACACAGGTATATGGTGCCTCTAATTGGAGGTCAATGTCCGGTGTCTTTCCTTTCCTGCTTTCTCCCTTTAATTTTTTTTTTTCTCTGAGACAGCATATCTCGGTGAATCTGGAATTCACCAATCCAGGCTAGCTGGCCAGTGAGCTGTAAGGCTGTGATAATAAGAGTGAACGGCCACCCCAAGCTTTTTACATAAATTCTGGGGATCCAAACTCAGGCCTTCCTGCTTGCATGGTAGGCATTTTACTGACGAAGCTATCTCTCCACCAAATCCAAGATTTTTCTTTAAAGTTATTTTTTATCTAAGCCCCCTCTCCCATGTTCATTTCCTACCTCCGTGTTTTATTCATGCATGTGTGGTGTAAGTGTGTTTGTGTGGACATGTGCATTTGTTAGCGTGCAGGCAAGCACCTGCAGAGAGGCTTACATCAGGTGTCCTCCTTACTCATTCCCCATCTTAGATTTTCAGGCAGAGTCTCCCACAGAACCTGACGATCATTGGTCTGATAAAGAGAAATGCCTCTCTAGCTCCTCAACATGGGGATGAAAAAAGGATGCCATCACACCAGGCTTTTTATGTGGGTACTGGAGCTTACCAACCGAGCCATCATTCCATTTGTGTACCCCTGGTTCTTTTATACAAGCTTGCAAACCTTTTAACCAATAGAGGTTTTAGCAATGTTACACACATACTTAGACATACAAGCATGACACATAAGTACCCACCACTTTGACAGAGTGATACAGAAGTAAACATTTTTTTCTTTTACTAAAAATATAAGCACTCATGAAATATACTGCTTCTCTAACTTGCTGAGTCAGAAGAGAGACAAGACTAGGTCAGCAAAAATAGAAACTGGAAAACTATAGAATAGCATTTTCTTTAATAAGATGAATTCATTTCAGATCTCATTTCAATCTCTTCTCTTACAACTTAATTAAACTACAAATAATCAGAAATCTTATTAGACAAAAATCTGACCATCATGTATATAATCTTTGATTAAGACTTGGTAATTTATAATCTCAACAATTTTTAAAATGAGATATTTTACTGTATCAAATGCACAAAAAAGTAAAATAGGTAGGTATAAAATAAATCAGAAATGATAGTAAATATTAACAGGATGAAATTACAAGGCATGTCATAAATAAACTGACACAAATTTCAACTACCCCCAATAATGTCTGCTATTCTAAATGTCACCAACATGATTAATTCCTACAGTTTTTGAAGTCTTAATGAAAATTGTATCTTAAGGAAGCCAAAGACTTTTTCTTTTAAAAAAAAAAACTGCTTATTTAGCCATTTTCTATATTTTTTTCTGTTCAATATCCCCCCCCCACATCAGCACTAAAACTGCAAACACGGTTTTCTCTCTCTGCTTTTGGTTGTGGACATTTTATGTAAACACATGTAGCTATATCCACTCGTCTTTGACGATTTCTGTATTTCAGTGAAATAGAAACTCCTTTCCCACTCCGAGGTAAATAAATCAGTTCCACGTATTTTCTTTTGAGACTTTAAGACTTCATTTACAAGTCCTTGATAACTGCCTGAAGATGGAGGTAGAGGACAGCCCCAATCCTGGCTTTTCTCCCTGGAAGATCATCCCCATGTCTGACCACACTTACAAGCTGTTCACCACCTCTGATTTGAGAAGCAACCTTTAGAACAATTCTTGTATTTGCATCAATTCTTGCCATTTTCATTTGATTTCTTTAATTAGACTATTTATTCATGCACTAAAATTAATTAATTACAATCAATAGGCTTTATAATATGTTCTTACATCTTATAAAACCAATTCTCCCTTTATATTTTATTTAGTCAACTTTTTATAATTGTTTGGGTTTTTATATGTATATATTAATTTCAAATTTTCTTTAATTAAAAAATGAAGCAATGGTATGTTAGAAAATTATATTATAAATTGAGAAAGTATTAGTACCTATTTTTATGATGTTATTCTGAATCAAAGAACTTGCTATAACTCTTGCTTATATCTTCTTTTGTGAATTCCTACCAGGGTTCTAAAGTTATCTTCATATCAATCTTGTAAACTATAAGTTAGCTTTTCAACACTTTTTTTCTTAAAACTTTTTTTCCAAAACCATTTTGTGGGACAAGCATGAGTGTTGTGGAATATTACTTTGTGTTCCATTTGTTTATGCTGTGGAATATTTGTTTAATGATGCAAAGATGGATTGAATTCTTTTATGTCGCATTTGTTCAACTCTGTGAAGCTGTGTTATTTTGCCTGTCTAAAACACCTGATTGGTCTAATAAAGAACTGAATGATCAATAGTGAGGCAGAAGAAAGAATAGGTGGGGCTAACAGGCAGAGAGAATAAATATAAGGAGAAATCTGGAAAAAGAAGAACAAAGAGAAAGAGAACAAGGAGAGGAGGATGCTAGAGGCCAGCCACAGAACCAGTTACAGAGTAAAAGGACAGGAAGATATACAGAAATGGAGAAGGGTAAAAGCTGAGAGGCAAAAGGTAGGAAAAATTAAGTTAAGAAAAGCTAGTAAGAAACAAGCCAAGCTAAGGTCAGGCATTCATAAGAAACAACAAGTCTTGTATGTGATTATTTGGGAGCTGGGAAGCAGATACCCCAAGAGTAAAAACAACTAACAACACATAAGG